AGACAATGTGCCTCAGGCTTCATTAATGTCTCCGAAGTGAAAGAAGTAGAAGAAAACGGCAAAAAGACACGGAACGACATTTATGGTTACGATTTAGCGACTCGGCGGGAGAAAAAATCTGCGCTTGCATCTAATCAAGACGATTACGATTTCCACTCGCGATCTTTTCACTATTATACTTCTTTCAGTACAGGCGCTACCAGTGGTGTATCAAGCGGGGAGGGGGGGGGGGGGACTTGTCTCCCCTGGCGGCATTTTTTTTAAAGGCGGTTTGAAAACGGTTCAGGCGGCGATACAGTAAAGTCTTAATTTTGCCTCCCCCGGCACAAAAAACACCCTGGATACGCAACACTGGGCGCGGTATCCCTTGTATAACCCTTTCAAGACACCTTAAAATTTCGTACCCACGAAACTCCGAATACAAAACGTAAAATTTATTAGGCCCCACCTGGCCCTAATAAAAATGTATGCGTTTCCAATAAGTGCACATTATATAACATCATTGGTGCATAAGGCATACCTCCTTATTACCCCATGGCACATAAACCATTCCAAAGACCATCTCAGCTCCCTGGGGATGCTTCCATTTCGACGCCAAAACATCATAACAAAACATAATCTGCCCTTACAATAAACCTACTCCATAATACTTTCGTGTGGGGAGGAGCAAATACCTTGCCGGTTGACACGCGCACCGCAACCCATCAGGACCCGAACCCACAACCTGAAACATTACCCACAGAGTTCGATGCAATCCCTGGATGCCGGCCAGCCAGGGTGCTCGAACTTCTTAATCTACCGACCATTCCCAACTCGCCAATCCAAACCTTGCGATCAGACGTGTAGCCTATAACGTTTCATTTCACTGATAATTGCTGACACTTTCCAGCGTGTACCCCTAGCCTGCGTGCTCGAGCGCGAATACGGTGCACTCCGTCAAATTCATGTGAATCGCATGAATCGTTTCATAAGTCGTCTCAAGTGTTTAAAAGCTTATACCAATAGAGACGAATTAAGGTACAGTTTCCCCTTTCCGGACGTACAAACAAGCAAAGGGAAAGGCATTTCTCCACCTCCTTACTGCTGCCTGAGTTTCACTGGAAATAGTTGTTTTTCCTCTAACACTTATTTTTCTTCCTCTAAATGGAAACCCAAATGGATATGTGTTTGAGTTAAGCCATCTGTACTTTTGAATCAACACGATTTCAAACTGGCCACACAAAGGTTTAGACTGTCATTCTAGTCGCTATACAGGAACAAACACCGATCGTAATATTTCGACCTGGTTCCCTTGACCGTAGCTGCAATGCTTCGTTTTCTTGTGGGGGTGGGGTTGGGTGGGGTGATGCGACACAGAATAAATCATGAGTGGTTTCTACAGTTTGCCAGGTGAATGCTAATGAGAGCGAGGTTGAATTAAACCCCTGTGTTATCAGGTTTTACTCGGAGGAACATCTAGCGGATATGAAACCAGTGTGTAAACATGCAGGTGGCAATTTCAATTCACTGTCATGGAAACTGTCTGACAAAATGCGAGTGCATGCACTTTTAGCATCAGGCTGTATACGAGATCGTGGCAAAGACTAATACATTTGGACACACATAATATGGCTGTATACGAGATCGTGGCAAAGACTAATACATTTGGACACACATAATATGTCGTGCCCAATGCAAACTGGTGAACATTACCAAGGTGTTATCGCACTCGAGCGTGAGCCTTACATGCGTCCAGTATCAAAGTAATTGTCAAAGTAAAACTGAAATCTAAATCCTGACAGTCCTTCAATTGTAATATGGTTATTCACAAACCCCGTGGGTGAGGGTTAATGATGGAATGAAGACTGATAATAACCTGTCCATAGTAATTGACGGGAAGAGATATACTGATAAGAACCTATCAAATTTCAGAAATATACCCTCGATTTGAATTCTAATGAAGTCGTGGCAATCCAATTAAAGGCCGACGCCTTGTCGTCGCACGATCTGTGTTTTGTCCCACGATAATTTCGACGGAAATTGAAATGAAACCGGCGGAGCCACGTTCTTACCAGATTAAAATCGACTCTCATTAAAGGGCCCATGCAGTGGATTTTTTTTAATGCGATCCTTGAAAATGCGCACCTTTGTGTCCCATTTTCGTTTTGCAAATTTCAAGGGTAGTTTGGTGCCTTTTTTTTTTTATGCTAACGCAAATTGAGCAAAAGTGTGATGTCATTTCAGGCAGAATCATCAATGTTACAGCTTTTTCAGTACCAAAAGTGTTTTTATATTTTTGCTGTTGTACATGTTCTTGTCGTTAACTTCACTATATACGTGTATGTGATTGTGCATCACAATGAAACAGTCTGGACTAATTAGGAGAAACGCATCTCTTGTTTAAAAACAGCAAGTCGGTGTTTTATACCAACACTGTTAACCATCCTGTACACCATGAATGAAAAAACCTTCATCATTCAATTCACAAACTGATATGTAGAATAGTAAAATCTACGACGACTTCTTACGAAAGATCAGCCGCACACAACTCTAGCTATGCACATTTTTTTAGTGGTATAGTTCCGGCCATACAGGGCGAACATAATTTTCAATCAGTGTTCTCAGCGCAGACAAATCATACGTAAAATCACTTGGGGACGCAAAGCCATCGCTAGGGTCTTCAATATTACACTCACGATTGAAAACGGTGTCATTTCTTACAAGAATAGCACGCTATACTGTCTTCGGTTTTGCTCACACCACATTTCGTTTTCAAACTCAAGAGGACGCTATTGAAGAAAGAACGACTGAAGGTTAATGAAGACAATGTATCTGTTGACTCCCGTAATACTTTGACTCACATGCTAATTTACTACTCTATTTGCACACGCAGTGAACACTGCGAATATGAAAATAAAAAAAACCCGTAGAGCGATTTTCTTTCTACCAATTATTAAAAACGAACAGTTTTGAATGATAATAATGGTCTTTTACCCTTTTATAACCACATTCCGTAATATTCGCTGCATTTGCAGTTGCTATTGCCATAACACGTTAATCATGGTACGTATCACACGAACGCTTCACATAGGGGCTTAGATATTAAACTTTCAATAATTGAAAGAATGCACCTGTTTTCGTCCCTACCATCAAGCCCGCCGCATACGGGCTACGTGCTGAGCAAAAAGTCATTCCACGCCGTTTGCTCGTTTATCAGCACGTAGCTCACAGTTTAGCCGTGAGTTTTTGCTGAGTTTTCTGCCTCTATCGCGAGGCCGTGAGGCAAATATCAATCCTGTTTGATTTCTTTCGCCTCGCAAGGGAAAACACTCACTTTGTGTGCGGTCAACCTGAGCTACGTGCTGAGCAAACGGCCTCGATTTCCTTTTTTTTTGCTCAGCACGTAGCTCACTCCATGCGGTGAATTTTTGCTGAGTTTTCTGCCTCTAATGCGAGGCCGTGAGGCAAATATCAATCCTGTTTGATTTCTTTCGCCTCGCGAGGCAAAATACTTACTTTGTGTGCGGTCAACCTGAGCTACGTGCTGAGCGAACGGCCTCCAATTACTTTTTTTGCTCAGCACGTAGCTCACTCCCTGCGGTGGATTTTTGCCGAGTTTTCTGTCTCGCGAGGCCGTGAGGCAAATATCAATCCTGTTTGATTTCTTTCGCCTCGCGAGGCAAAACACTCACTTTGTGTGCGGTCAACCTGAGCTGTGCTGAGCACGTAGCTCTCGTATGCGGCGGGCTTTACGAAATGGCATATCAGCTGACTGCTAAGCAACCACATTAACCTATCCGTAGGCCAGTTACGAGCTCGCAACATTATTTCGATTCCCAGCGGAAAGGTCGAGCTGAGAACATCACAATATTGAGGTGTTATAATAAAGAAAAAACCCATGGCGTTATCGTAACCACAATCAAACGCAGGTGTTTCTACGTATAATGAATTGTTTTCGTGAGGAATTGCTGATTAGCGCCTTGTTTTTGTAAGAATTATACTCTGATACCTCATCTGCAAAACCTTTTTCCAATTAAAATTTCTTTCGGCAAGGACACAAAAATATATTATTTTGTTACCCAGCCGGCAGATAAGCATATTAGGAAAGTGCTGTCGCCTAGACTCGAAAATAATGATATTAAACTTTGTTTTGTTAGGCTCGAAAACGACAATTCGATTTGATATGATCAAAACGTGGATGAAGGAGCCTCATGAAAAGATATTGTCAAAATATGCAAACAAAATTTTATCAGAAATTCCCCTTTAATAAGTCTTGGAATAATAGTGGTTCATAGACGTAGTCATGAATATGCATGTCTGTGTCCCCATTAGTACCTCAAGGTCGATCATTAGTGCAATTATATGGTCGCCCCTATAGACTGAGGTAGTCATGTATATCCACGATTCTCATCAGTACCTCTAGGGACGATCATTATTGCAATTATGGTCACCCTAAAGGTATGCATGTTTGTGTCGTCGTCAGTTCATCAAGGTCCGACCGTCATTGCACTAATGATCACCCCTATAGCTATAGCAGCGCTATTGAAATGGCGTAGCCACGCTGCGCGGAGTGGGGGGGGGGGGGGGGGCACGTTCCTCCCACATATTCCCAGTGCCCACAGCTGCCCAGAGGTGCCCCACGAATAATCGGAATTTGCCCCTCGCCAAAGAAACGTCTTGTTTAAGTATAATTAAAACCAAGACAAGAACGTATATGACTAGTTTTTACCTTATACTAAAATTCTCTTACGGGTTTATGAACTTATGAAAAAAGTGATAAAAAACAAAGAGCGCTCTCTAACGTCAAGAGGTCCTATCCATAGCCCTCTGCTGGCGGTTTGTGTATTTATAATTATGTCTGTGGTCCTGTCGTTTACGTTAGGCAAATGTTATGCAGTCATTTTCAGTTGTGTAGGGGTTCGGTAAAATGTTTGCCAGAAAAAAAAATAGATATCGGTCCAAAGAAAACAAATATTAAACTGTTTTTTTTTAAACTTTACATTTTAATTGCCCAGGTTGTAGCTTCTGCTCGACGGCGATATGTATTTGGATGCCGTGTGGTGGTTTAGGGTGTCTCTGGAGGGCGTTGTCTTCTTAATTGGTGTCCCTGGCAACCTACTCATCATCCATGTGTACGCGTCCAAGAAGTCAAAGGTCACACCTCACGTCTTCATCATCGGATTGGCTGTTGCTGACTTCACAGTTTGTCTACTGCGGATAATTACCCTGGTCCAACTTTTCCCGCCAATGGACAAGTTCAGCGCGTCCAGTCAGTTCTTCTGCCGCGTGCCGCCCAGTATTGACGTCTGGCCGAAGTATACCTCCATACTTCTGACCTCGGCCGTGGCGGTTGACCGCTATCTGGCCATCTGCCGACCGCATGGGCGTCGGATGACCGTGCGACGGGCCCGCCATGCCGTCTATGCCTGCTTTGCTGTGTCTGCGGTCTTCACGCTTTCGTATCTGTTCATCTACGGAGTCACGCCGCTCAAGGACGGCACCACGGCTTGCCAATTCGTCGTTCCGCACGCGGTCATCACTGCTGAGTTCATCCTCCTCATGATTTCCTTTCTTGCCTCGCTTGTAATGATCGTGGTGTTGTACGCTAAGATCTACCGGACAGTCAACCGGATGGCTAAGGTGCGTCCGGGGAACACCGTCCACCGCGGTGCCTTGCATGGACTGTCCCGTGTAAACCGCGACGATTCAACGGCAAGGGCGGAAGGCATCACACCCAACCAACTCATAACCGTGGTCTCCCGTAAAACCAACCCCGAGATTCAACAAGACACATCGGTAGATGAGCTTGAAGCTCAAGTAAAGCCCCATCAACCACAACCCGAACCGAGAACCTCGACCGATCCGGTAAGGACAAAACTTGCGTGGAACGCCGATCATCAGATTGAGGAGTTACCAATTCTGAAACCGCCTACCGAAGCCACGGTACCCAGCACCAGTAGCACAATAACTCGTCACAACACCTCACTTGCGAGCCCATCATCTCAAGCCACAAATGAAGCCACGGGGACCGAAAGCGACCAATCAAATGCCCCACAATTCCACAAGAAAACCACGCTGATGTTGCTTCTGTCTACCATAGTCTTCGTCGTCACACTCTTACCAGTGTGTATCGTTCTGATAGCCTACCCGCTCATCTTACCGCTGTTGCACATTGAGGCATTTCGGTTCCTAGTCAACGTGGCTTCCTACCTGAACCTAGTCAACAACGCGGCCAATCCTGTCCTGTTCAGCTTCGTCAACCGCCGTTTCCGTGAAGACATGAAAAGATCGCTTCGGAAACTAAGCCGTGGGGGCTGCCGTTTTCGCGACTAGTCGCAATATTCCCACTTCACAAGGGCTTCAAAATCTCACGGCGTTCTCACTCATAAAACATACTGGGAAAAGATGTTCCAGAAATGGAAGACTCCATTTCCCCTAAAAAAAAGGAGGGGTTGAACGAGAGGACAGTACGTACAAAGTCATAGCACACTACGTGATATCCCACAGGGAGTGTGCCATGACTTTTTATAAACTTAACACGTGATCGTTCTAGGCCAATGAAAATACAGTATTCAAGACAGAGGTATAACAATATTATATGATGCACTGGAAAGGTAAATATTGAACCGAACTCCACATGTTAGTGGTTGTATGGTATGTGTATATGGAGGAAATGCTATTTTTGTTTCGTAAATCTGTAACCTGTCAACTTCTCACTATGCACTTTATAAAAAAAAAAATCACTTAAATTTTATTCATTTTAATACATAAAAAATCTCGCTTCACAATTCTTTCTCACCTCCACCTTTTTATTTAATTTTAACAAATGACGGTGAACTATTTTCTAACTTCATTTAATTATGAGTTTTACTAATCTTATAATTACTTGCACTAATTAAAAAAAATCTATATCGCAGGTTATTGATATCAATGTTATAAATTTGGCCCAAAATGAGTTTAAGATGTTCTCAAATCATGCTTGAAAAAAAAAACTGTTTCTATCCGGAATTGAAAACTATCTTGGGTGTACGTAAACGTCACGTGATGAGAAAGTGACTGATTCTGGATTCGAACCCTCGAGCGCGACTGTCATTAAAAGGTGAACGGCGAGTGAAACACCACTGTACCAACCTCGTTCTCAGAGAGGTTACCTGTTGGGCAACTAATGTTAGATTATCACGTGAAACATCCAGTAATTATCAAAAGGTGACAATTCAAAGCTTACTAATCTATATTGAAGTAATGAATAAACTGAGCAAGAATTACGCACGTCACGCTTTATAATTGCAAATTGCTGTAATTTTTTACAAACTGAAACGAATTCTGTCCTTGACAGTAGCAGTTCACAAGTAAACCAACGCACAGGTCGAACAGTTCTCTAAGTTCAGTGTCTCTATAAAGACAGATTGCTCTAATGTTTCAGCTTCTAGTACACTGTACAGTATTGTGGACAGTTACGATCTGCCTTCTAGTCTCCATGAAGTAACGGGTGTAGTTTGATTTGATCTATCTTTACTCCATCTAACAGCAGGTGCAGTTCGGCTCTCTCTTCCTACCTCTTGATGATGTTCTAGTGCACTGTACATTGTAGTAAAGGGTGCAGTTTGAATCGATCTACCACACTCCATGCAGTGGTGAATGCAGTTTTGATATACTGCCTCTTACTCCATGTGATAAAGAATGCAGTTTTCTGACTCATAAAATTCATCAGAATCTTCAGAGCCGTTGGAGTCGTTCAGTTCACACATTAATTCTTCTCCGTAGCTCAAGACGTTGAAGGAGAGACACCCGGGCAAAGCGATGCAGCGTGCGGCACAACCATTCACGCTTTGGACCGCAAACTCATGGATGACGTGACCGGTGAGGCACCGAGACTGGCCCGTCGCGGTCCCATCAGCTCCGGTTCCGGTGAGCTGGATGCGAGTATCTTGACGGATGCGGCGATGTTTTCTGCATGCTGCTGGCGACGCCTGAGAGACACAGACGACTGGTCGAACGCAGATAGCTCTAGCATCTTTATCGCATGGTTGGTCGCGCCACTTTGAATGGTTATCACCTAGTCTTATTGCAACGCAGGTGCTGTTGGACTCACGTGGTGGTTCATTGCTGTCCCATCCACGAAAGTCCGTCTGTGTGCCCGGTTCACGACCATCGCACACCCAAACACCCAGTGAATTCATGGTGCACGCTATCCAGGCCACACCGGACTCTCGGAGTGTCGAAATGAAGTTGTTCTCCTCAGATGACTGTGGAGCTGCCATTTCCCCTCCCAGATTTCGACACACGTCAATTGATTCCTGCCAGGAACCTTTGTGCTCATAACGAGAGATGCGAAAACAGTAATCGCCGAATACCTTCCAATCTGGAGGGCAAGCGAGAGCCTCATCTTGTACCGGCACGCACACCTGTGGGCCCAAATACGCTCCCACTATTGCAATGGCACTCACGACCACGAAAACATTTACCAAAATCATGTTGTAATGTTTGCTCGATTCGTACCAAACAGTGCCGTATTGCAGCAACAGAATACCCTGCCAAACTGAAGTCTTCTGTTCGGTGGACCACATTATATACCTGATGAGATAGAAGGTGGGTACGAGGGGACATCAAATATTGATACCTTTGGCGGAAAGCCGCCAAGAAACCGAAAAAAGTCTCACGCAAAGAAACACATTAGAGCGCCACAAAAGTACTCAATAATTAAATCAAATGGATAAACGAGCATGTATATCTATACTTTAATAAGTCATCATAGACTTGTTTGAAAGGCCAGATCATTATCCAGTTTTTACAGAAAACATAGAAGTATGGGTAGGCTAATGGGCTATTGAGAAAGACCCTCCCTCAAAAAAAAAAAAACCTTTACAATTACTCACCTAGGCTGACAGAGTTTTGCGTGATGTGTCCCTTACAATAAAATCGGGCGAATAAGGTAGAAAGAAGATTTAAATCAATCCTTCATTTTTTCCTGATGACTTTTATTGTTCATCGTTCTCCCCTTTGGCTTTGGCTTCAAACGGAGCAAGGGTCGGGACAATAACAGCAAAACTCCACTGTGAAGGAGATGAATATCTGCTTTCCTCAACAACAACAAAACAAAACGTTTTGAGCTACTTAAACTTGACCTGTCCTTGAAATGGAAATTACTTGACCTAGATGAAATATTCCAATAAGTGCTGGAATGGTTCCCAACACCGAACTTGGAGGCTTAAGTGGTTAGTGTAATATTAATAACATGTGCAACAGGTGAATTAATAAACGATAGAGAGAAGTAATGGTCGCTTAATAAATAGAGTCTATACCCAGTGATAATGGCTACTTGAGTCGATGTAAGCTTTTAGCTCTTACCTTTCAAGGTTACGGAGACAAGTGTGTTACTCTTTTATCGGTACAAGCCTACAAGGTCACTGCACTTTCACAAAGGGTAGTCAGTCGCAAGTGAAGTCCATCACACGTCATTCAGTTTCAAGACAAGTCGCAAGCTACTTACTCCTTTGTCATTTCCTTGTCATTGTTTACATACTGGTGACCTGGCTCGTATATCAACTTGTATTTTGACGCGACTTATTCAACAATAGTTGAACCCGTATTTCGACTATACAGCTTTACCTTCACCAACATCACTAACTATTTTTTTACCATCATCAACTCATCCTACTCCTGTTCATAGTCATTGCCCCCACCCCAAGTTGCTGACGTCATCATCATCGTCATTCAATTCAATTCAATTCAATTCAATTCAATTCAATTCAATTCAATTCAATTCAAATCAATTCAATTCAATTCAATTCATTCACATTTATTTCCATTTTACATTTCATAAAATACAAGTAAATATAGATAAACACTCGGTGTTTAACAAGTGGATATCAATACTTGAAACAAATGGTGAAAATGGAGGCATGTCCCGGTAATTAGCTAGTCTTATCGAATACATCCGTGCCTTCAGTTTTTTGAGAAAAAAAATACAAAAGTAACAAGTTGTCAACATTCATCAAAAGGTATATACAGGCTAACTCGAGCTTTTCTCTTTGTGTTTGCTATGTTCATGACGGCTAACACATGGGTTTTGTTTAGTTTCTTTTGCTTTTCCTATTTTGTAATGTAAAAGTCATTGGGTGGCTGTGTCGGAATTAGTTGGCTACGGCTAGAAATTACACACGCGCCTATGGAAACAGCCGCAGCCACTTTCCCATGGACCCGTGTCACCAATCGATTAGTGATCGGGGGACGAGGTTGATATCGAGAATGCGCGTACGGGCCGTTTGTTTGTGGCAGCTGCGTGCCGTGCGCGTTTTCAACGCGAACGGCGTAGAACAAAAAAGCTGACATAGACCTACTGTTTCAAGCCTGTTGGTTTGTCAACTGGTGCATGGCTATTTGACGGGAAAATACCATTAGATCTATGACTAGTACGCTTTTCATCTTGAGAAAGGGAACCCTTAAACCATGGTAAGTTAGATCAATTATTTTTCTTGAAGATTAAGGTTATATCTGGAAGGTTAAGGTGATTATCGATAAAAAATGTTGAAATATCTAGTGCATCAAAGCACTTCGTGACAATTAACTAAGGCAAATTACTAAGGTCATTTCCACATTCACTTCATGCCGGCGAGTCATAAGGTCAAAAGTTGGCGTGGTATTCTTGAGTGAATTTTACCAACTCAACATGAACCAGAGCCAGCAGGCCGTCAGGCTCCGTCGTAAATCTGTATCGAAGACGCTGAAATGGACATATTAAATATGGAACTAAAAATACAAACAAAGCTGCGCCTTGAAAACTATTTTGGAATGGGAACTTGGTTGCCGAAATACCACCCGTCTATACATGTCTTTATTCAAAACTATACGACACACAGTTTGTCTGGAGGTGGTTTCATAAGAGGCGAGTGCGAGAGAAACGCCCCAGCCGTCATCATCGGCCAGGAGATGACAGCGCCGTAGACCGGGACAGCGCGACCGAGTCACGGGGAGAACAGACGGCTGGAATCCCGACTACCAAGCCGCCGGACTCGCCTGGCTCTGACGCAGAGGATGTAGTTGACGACGGTGAGTTAACGGTGAAATCAAGGTCTATATAGAGAAGGCACCTTTCCAGAACAACCAATGCGACGTGACATCGTCACACCTCATGAATATTCAAATTGCTCCCAAGGCTTCCCATACCAACGAGAAAAGCACTGTTTGCTTTTGAGAGGTATCACATTTGAATATTCATGAGCTGTGACGATGTCCTTTCAGGTTTTTCAACAAGTGTTTACCGAAACAATCCCTAGTCTTGGCACAGCCTCACTACTTACAAGTATGACGTAGACCAGGTCCTCAGTCTACCTCAAACGGACGGTGTGAGAATAAAGTACTACTCGACGCTTAGTGGCAGCAAACTCGTTCTCGTTCGAATAAACCGACATACCAATTTCTACCAATTTCTAACCTAAAAAAAATCACTTCTCGTTTTCACATACCTTTGCTTTTGCAGTCACGAACTGTACTTCAAATTGCTGTGTGGTTCATCCGACTCTTAGGTATGAGTCAAACCTCTGTGATCTTCCAGACGAAATTCTCCTTCGCATCGTCTCCTTCATCTACCCCATGGACAGGACCTTTGCCAGTCTCAAGTTGTCCTGCAAACGGCTCCACGCAATCGCAGAAGATCTGTCACTATACCACCTCCGCGCCCTAACGGTGCCACCAAAGTCCATGTTCTCTTTTCCTGTCCTGCAGCGTGTACTTGATGTCTCCGGTGGAGCGTTGGTCCGAATGGACCTGTCTGGATGCGAGGACATCACCGACTACACGTTGTTCAGAATGGCAGTTCACTGCGGGAAACTGAACAGCTTGAGCTTGTCGGGGTGCAAACAGATCACCAACGGTGGACTGAGGGTGATCGGTAGCTATCTGATACACCTGCAGGAGTTAGACGTTAGCTGCTGTCCATTCATCACGTGTGCAGGTGTGGTACACCTCTTCAAGATGATCGGTACTTCGCTGGTCTCCATCAATCTCAACGACTGTTTAGGTTTCAGGGAAGATCCTCACCGACTTGTCACGCTGGCGTTCTTCTGTAGCTCTCTGAGACACCTTTCTGTAGGCTGGTCCCGGGATCTGGTCAAGCTCAACCCGCTCCTGGACATGGATCTGGACAGGCTGACTCAGGGATGTACGGAGTTAGAGTACCTAGACGTCAGCTACAGCCACTCCTCTAATGGCAGCATGCAGAGTATAGCCCGCAACTGCCCCGTGCTGACGACACTCATAACAAGACAGTGCTTCCTGCAAGATACCGGTCTAGAACACATTGGCCAGGGGATGGGTAAACTTGAGTGGCTGGACCTCACGGATTGCTGGTACGTCACGGACGCGGGGCTAGGCAGCCTGGCCAATGGCTGTCCGCGCCTGCGTGTCGTCATCCTGACGCGCTGCCACGAGGTGCGAGGAAGTGGCGTGGTCAATTTGGCGACCTCCTGCAACCAGTTGGAGAAATTCGTCCTGAAACAATGCTTTCGAGTCGACGACCACGCCATAAAATGCGTCGGTTTGGGCGCTAAGCAACTGCGCCACCTCGATCTCAGCTGTAACCAAAACGTCACGGCGGAGACGGTGAGGAAAATACGAGAGGCCCGGGGAGGAGGACTGCGGATCGTGACTAATGGCTGCCCCAGGGTGCCGAGAGGTGGTGCTGCGTCAAGATTTCTCTTCTTGAAGAAAGACACCAACTCCTTGATGGTCTGGGAAACAGCCGTTTGATATTTCTGCATCTTACCCCAGCAGAAGGCATTTAGAGGTTGTCCCATCGAAAGAGCGACGATGTGCCGAATGACGTCCCACGACGAAATATGTCGTTGGTGAAAGTGTTCATGTAACAGTGCATACGTCTAGGCATTGAAGAGTTTGAATCAGTCAGAGTCCTTGGATAACACCAAGGAATAACTGCATACCTAATTCCCAGAAGGTCTTTTCAGTATCTAAGTATGATTTGTTTTGACAAATTTGAATAACAATGTTTTTTTTATCAAATGACTGCCGTTTATCAAGGTTGATGACCAGTACAGTGCATGTTTTCATTGACTGTTGTCCTAAAAAGTATAGACGGCCGTAAGGAAATAATTTTATATATAACATGTGGTGTAGAAAAGTTACTCATTGGAGAAAATAAATGTATTTACTGTATAACTTTATTAATGTACATATATAATAATATTATATTTGCATGCACTATGAATGCAAAGCGTTTTTTTTCTGTTTTGGAGTCATCATATTAAATTGCTTTAATTAACAAAATACAGTCGCTACTCCATTTCACTTATATTAGGATTTTGGTAAATATAGGGGAAAAAGCTAAAATGAATAGACTTTTCTTTATTAGTATTGTAAAGTTTTGGCTCTAAACATTTAGATGATGACTTTTGCGTGTAAAAATTCGAACACAGTTTTGGTTGTGGTAGACTTGCTATTAATCAACGTTAACTTTTTTGTTGTAAAGCAGATACTCGTCGTCTCATGTTTTTTTATCATTTCTGTTCCCAACCCATATAGCACGCCCTCAAGAGTTCACAATGTCTCCTATTATAGAGAGCGCAATCCAAACCCCAATTTGCAAAACGTAGTTACATTATATATGTATTTATCTGTACAATGCGAGATTCCATCGCTGGTTTCCGCTATAAGTTTGGTTTCTGTCACTGCCGATAGCTGGTAAACTGAATGTTGCTGAAAACCCTGGCCACAGACTCGAAGCACGGATCGCAGAATGTCCGGATGAGTAGCGTCCACAACTTACTGGCCCAATGGAGAACGATCAAGCATGACTTGATGCAGGGAACCACGTACCAGATGTGCAGAAAAGTGAGGCAGGCAAAGTACACACCTGGGAAGGAGGAAAACGTATAGTATTAATGTCAATGGTACTCCTTCAGGTACATTGGTGTGGTTATTTTTCCTTTCAACTCGGTGATTAGTAGAATTAATTATGTTTAGGACGATGTTCGATTCGAATTCCTCGTGAAGACTTTGAAGGAAATAAACACATTGTATAATATAAAGAAGTCAAAATTAGTCGTGGCATAGTGTTTCGCCCAAAACTTAAGTTTTAAGTTGAGAAATTTTCACGGATGAAAACAACCTTGCTTGGAATGGAAATAGGCATTTCTACTTAAACAACACCTAGTTGAGCTAAGACCCGAAAGTCTCAGATTAGGTAAACTATTTAAGCATGTACACATAACAATCGGTTATTCGGGGAGTCAGTCAGTCATTTCTTCAGTCAGCCAGTAAGTCGTCAGTGACTCGGTCAGTCATGGGACTGGCCTTTCGGATCCAGCACAAATGGAAATAAACTGATAAAGCTTGGTACAAGCTTTTTGTCTAGCCTCACCCCAGCAGACAGAGAAGGGGATACCGCACAGCAGCGTGCAGATGCGGTAGGACCAAGACTTGACGAAGGTGAACGTGATGAAGCTGTAACGCCAGACCCTATCGAAGCTATGCATGCCGTCTGGTTCCGCCAAGACATCCTCAAACCATACCTGACAGAGAGTTGCGTTTTAATAGTAGAAAACCATTTCGTTGATCTAGCTAAGCTCAGAATAAAACCTGCTGAGCAGATATGGATTACCTGTTAATAAACCATGTCATGTGAATGGATTGTGTTGCTGGAGTTTGACAGAATTTTGCTAAGCACTTTTTTATATTTAGCAGTTTTGAGCCCCGGTTACGTAACTGCGTTTCACTCGAGTTAGGCGTGGTATCAGACGGTGACTTCAAAACCTGTTGCACATAAAGGCAACGGAACGGACAGACACGAGCGTGAGTTGCTCACTATTTTCTAAATTCAATGGAGTCTGCTGCCACCAGGAGGCTCGAAATGTCCACTTGCACGTGCTCAAAGGTGCGCATCTTACCCTGACATGTTTATTCATATCAGTCGGGTCCCTGTCCCGCATGTCTAGCTGCTCCACCGTCTCCATATGCACCCTCGTGTGCTCGAACTGGGGCTCATTCGATATCGTCACCTTGAGGTTATTCTCACGTCTGATCGGAGGTCTGTCGTGTTCAGCGTCTTGGTCCGACATCAGTGGCTGAATAAACAAGAAGGAAACATTTCGACAGACTTAAATGTCGAAGGCTGATGTCTTGTGTCTGTAAATGCTGCACGTTTAAAACTGATTTTGGCAGAAATTAGTCACGTAAATGAAACCTTGGCAGCTTCAGGTAAATACAAGAGAAAATGAGAACTATATACATGTACCAACAATTCTGCAGCGACAGATTTTTGTATCCATCCATGCATCACAGAATACCTACGTATACATTGTGTGGTACCTTCTTTATTATGAATGCCAGATACCGACTTTAATAGTCATAGATAGAAACTCTATCGAGTGCAAGTAGTTCTTTAACATCAACAGCGGAAATGAAGTGTAAATATGTGCCTCAATCTATTTTCTTTCATACATTCACAAAATCGTTTGAAACAAAACATTTGAATGCAAATTTAAGTCCCTTGGACACACCCCTGGGCGGGGCATGAGGCGTGGTCTTGTTACCTACTGCCTTCTGTAGTTCTTTGCTGTTGTCAGGCTGGTGCTCATGGGCGGGGTTTGGCAGCTCCTCTCTGGCCGGTGATTTGACGATGTGGAGGGCTTTCTCTGCTTTGGCCTTGCATTTCAGCCACACCTGGTTTCCTCATAGGGTGGGGTGGGGGTGGGGGGTCGGTGGAGGCAGCAGGGACGGGGAGGAGTAGTAGGAGCAAGCAAAATCACATAGAGTAGGGGGTGCAGGGAACAAACATGAGATGAATAAAGATAAATAATCAAAACAAAATTACTCACTCTTGAAATTTTAGCGAAGTTCATGTAGCACTCTGTATTTTCCATGTCCTTCAGGTTTCATTGATAATAATCCAGCATAGTCCGGGACATTTTGATGGATTTCCCAGCGGTGGCTTTGCCCAGTGTGAATTTGAATCGACGACAGAGGATGTGAAGATTTCTAGTGAAGTTCAAGGAACTCTGATACAGGACTTGATTTATTCCCTCCCAGATTAATCCGCGCGAAACAAAAATAATCCTTGCAAGGCCTTGGAGATTTCGTCTTTCACAGGTGGCTAAGCTCGTGAAATCACATCAAAAGTAAGTTACCAAAACGGAACTGATCAACAGCATGAGTTTTCAGATTATCCATCATTATTATCTCATTTATTTGATAAATGTCAAGTTGAAAAGGAGAAACAGGTGGTAACGGAATTGTTGACAACGAACTTGACGAACTCCCATCATGCACCTATAGTCGGCACCCTCATTCACTGGCAAACATTTCCTTTTCTGTATGGCTAGTGAGTACAGGGAACTAGACGACATTTAACTTGGACAACTAACTGGTACCCTAGTATTTTGATGTCGGTATGCATAGTACCGACATGCAGTACTACTCGGAACGGAGGCCAGACTATTTATGGCCCTCTGACTAGGATGGTCTTAGTCACATCCGCTTGTGGGTTCTAACAGTTGATTAAACAGAAGTGCGGCTTAAGCCTTGACACCCGCGCGCTGAGCACAATATTCAGCAGATGGGGCGCTCACTTTGAGTTTAAACACAGCTCTAACTGGATTGTCAAAATAGGACTAGGGCTACGCTGGGATAGCAATAAGTTTTCCCTCAGATAGTGGCTCTCATTTTTTTGGAGGGGACATTTAATAATGCGTCATAAAGCGCACATAATCCACCAGTATACTCAAGGCGCTACATCATTATTACCCTGCTCGGTTGGGCCAATTAAATGAAACATTCCAAAGACAATCTCAGCTCCCTGGGGAGTACACAGCTCGATGCAGCCATTTCGACGCAAGTATACCATCTCTGCCCTCAAGAGAAGTGAGTGACAAGTGCCTTGCCCAAGGGCACACGCACCACAACCCCAGTCAGGACTGGAACCCACAACCTGCAGCAGTAGTGCAGGATAATGCTCCAGGCCACGAGGCCACGGCACTCCACATTGCTTTTCAATAATTTGATGCTCATTTTTGTCTTCCCCAGCTGAGCGGGGAGGGGGATACACGCCACCACGACATGTGGATACGTAAGACGATATCATTGTGGAAATGCCACGTTTACTGAAGCAAAGTGGGAACTTTAAGTTACTTCAATTTAAACAGTATACAATCTCGTAAAAATTGTTATGAACGGGAGGATGCAAACTTTAAACGTTAATGCGGCACCACCAGAATGGTATCATAAATTACATCGCCCCCAAAATGCAGATCGTAGGTTTTATGTATAAACACTCGATCATCATGCCATCTGTAAAGCTTAAAACATTCTAAAAAACAGTCTTTTTTTGTAGAGAACACAAAAATCAAATCTAAGACCTGGTTAGATTCCAGTACTTACCACTCTGTGAGGGTTACACTTCTCGGACATGGTAGAAATGGTGTCAGGTTCCACATTGACATCTTCATCATCATCCGGACTCACGTAGATATCCATCATGTCCATCCTATGAAGCCTAAGTTAGGCTGTGGGAAGCCTTTTATTTTCTTAAGGACGCTCACAGCTGTTAAGGCTCATTACACCAACGTGCTTGTGATCCAATGCGATAAGTTGAGGCGTCATAGTAACTCTTGGCCGATTTCCAAACTCGTATGTGCGTGCAACATGACAGATTTCAAATCGCTGGTACCGGTACCCTACACTTGCGGTTATACATACGCACACAGTGCGGCTTGGAGCCATCAACATTTTAGTCGATCGTCGCAACTCCACTGTCACAAAGTGTACCCCATGGATATATGATGGATCTCGTGGACCGGATTTGCGTAGTTTCAAAGGAACAACACTGGCCCACTTTGCAGTGAGTAAGCCAATGATTCACTGAGAATTTCGACAAATCCGAGGTACGTCCCTTTCCTTCAGGCTGCGATAGTCTATGATCTTACCCGTTTTACATTTACCCGCACAAACGTATATGGATCTGTGTTGAGTGTGTTCAGTGCTGTAAGTTGACGTAAGTTCGGCGTCTTAAATGCATTAAGTTCAACGGCCCTCTATAACATAAGAGGAAATCCCTGAGTATTAGTACGATTGACATCTCTCATGACAGATAGGCAAAAGTTAATGCACATTTCCCCACTAGTCTGGGACATCTCTGAGTCATCTGTCTGATATTGATACAACTTCTGGAAACACTTTTTTCCGGACGTTTCAGTCTTTCAAACCCTTCTTTTTTCTAACGACGTTAATCATTTCTTTCTATCGCTTGTTGTTCACACAGACCCTTAATATCCAATAATATGCACAGTAGATACTGTGCAAATATTCGAGGGCCTATACGAAAAATTCAGTGCCTACGAAAAAAATCGAGGGCTTATGAAAACACCACACGTGCCATAAAATATGACACGCACGTACACAAGAATTTTTTTAAAGAGTTTAGCGTCAAGCTCTCTCGTCTCTGAATTTTCAATTTCACTGACGCTGAGGTAGCTGCATGTACATGTAATCGAATGCCACGTACGTAGCACTGGTAGATGATAAAATGTGCAAAGTAGTTGAAAAAATTCATAAGCCATTGCTCAGCGTGATTGCTTTTGCCAAGCTTTTCACAAAGCCAAGCTTTCGGTGTACTACGACTTCTTCAGGGTAAAAATAGCCACGAAGAAGGTGTTGTACATGAATAGAAAACTTGGCTACCAATCACGCTGAGCACTGGCTTCTTTTCACTATACTCAGTTTGTATATGATTGTAGGCCTATACGTACAGAATTGACGTGCAAAGTTTGTTGTTCTGAAGCACACGGTGCCAGCAGGTTTTAGAAATACCTGTTTTTCCTGGCTTGCTTAGCTAAGCTTCATCGCTTACCAGTGCCTGTGGCCGGGGGGGGGGGGGGTAGGGCCTACGCGACACTGGTACTGCCTATACGGAACTCTCCGTCTGACCCTATTACTAGTTTACATTTTTGCGTTCTAGCGTTAACAGACGATATTCCTACACGTTTTTTTTGTGCACGGTACATTAATTAAAAACTCCTTACGTACCGTTGTTTCTGGTGTTCGTTGAAACCGTTCATGGGAAAAGTGGCAAGTTTTTTTGCACCTGCGGAACTTCATCAAAGTTTATCGGGCGCCCTCTATGTTCTGAGTTGGATATTCGGCAACATGGCGGCCATCATGTTTACGTGGATTGCTACATTCTTGACGCTTGTCACGCTACTCCCCTTTATCGTGCACGCAGGCACTGATGGTGCGGTAGGAAATGGTAAGATTTTGTTTGATAAATTACTGAGGAAACGGTTAAATTATTTGCCTAGAATAACTCCAAAACTTCGGTCAAATTTGGTAGATATGTGTGCCCAAATTCCGGACATGCAGTTCTGTGTAGTTCGTGGCGTATGGCGCGTCCCATGGCCATGCATCCCCTATCAAAATCATGCCTGTCATGTTGTAGGGACGGTAGGGCATATAGCGCCTTGCCCGAGTAAGTATAAATTTCTTTTTTTTCTACCCATTTTCCTCACTCGTATTGATTGAAATCCAAATCAAGATTAAAATCGTTCCCTTTTCTTTAATCATTGTTAATCATCATGTTATTGTTAATTCTTGTTGTTGAATTGTTTATATTCAATTCAGGTACATGTATTGGCTTTTAAACTAAACCTTTTTTCTAATATGGCTTACTTTGTAGGATTCGGTGATGATATAGAGTGGTGGTCATTGCCAGATGGTTTATCACAATCTAAAACCTTGTAAGTATTTTTCTTCACGTTGTTGGGGTATCAGAGATTTATGGTTTTGGGTGTTTTTTTTTCTTCTCATTTTTCCCATAAAAAAGTAGGGTAGGGGCTGTCAGATTAGGGTAGGTAGGGAAACCAAAAGCAGAAGTATATATATTTTTTTTGGCCTTAACTATGAACGTGGTCTTTGTTATGATACTACTTGACATGATATAGTAAGTTCTCAATCATTGCTAAAAAGCTTAAGATTGGGTAATTTGTAGAGCACTTTGAGCCGCAAATCCAACAATGTTATAAATTCTAATTACCATTCCCTATTTTTTCTCCACTGGATCATTCCCATCTCGTTATTTGTCCTTTTTAATTCCAGAGGCAAACCACTGATGCTGATTATACACAAGTCATGGTGCGGTGCATGCAAAGGTAGGTTAATAATAGTCATAATACCTAACTAGATATCCCACTAACGAATAAGTTTCTGGTCCAAAAAACTATAAGGGTGCTAAAACTGTCTGTCACTGTTTTATTTGTGTTTAGATCTTGTAATTTTGTTGATCTTGTATTCTTGAGTTCGCTGTCTGTTACGCCACTGATATCTCTGGAGTGATCTGTACTTTCATTTTTTTTCTGATTTCTTTCTCTCTTTTGTTCTTTTTGTTTTGCACAAGACCACAATGCTGTTTTTGTTGTCTGATTTGTGTTCTCGCTTTCTGATTTCTTTTTCTGTCGTGTTAATTTTAGTTTTGGAAAAAAACCACAATGCCCATTTTTTCAGATTTGTGTTCTTGCTTTTTTTCATAGCTCTGAAGCCCAAGTTTGCAGCCTCAGATGCAATTAAGGAGCTCAGCAAGGACTTTGTCATGGTCAACTTGTTGGTAAGAAATCAGAACAAAGAAATCTCTTCAACATCAACCTTAAAATGGGTGCAAGATTAGGTATACATAAGAGTTTCCCCTAGGCACATGAAAAGAAGTAGACTGGATTCCAGTGTAATTCGTTTCTGTTAAAGATGTACTTGTGCACAGCTTCCATAGAATCCAGGTTGAATGTTTATTATGTTTACATTTTATTGTGTACTGAATTATCTTCTTCTGCCATTTGTCAGGATGATGAAGAGCCTAATGAGAGTAAATACGTCCCAGATGGTGGCTACATTCCTAGGATTCTCTTTCTGAACCAGGCTGGGGAGGTTCAGACTGATCTCATCAACAAAGGAGGAAATCCCAAGTACAAGTACTATTACCCCGATGCAAATGGAGGTAAGGTACCAGACTGTTGAATACGGAGACGTAATCGATCACAAGTCAAGTTATAAGACGGTCACAAGTAGCAAGGGATGGAGAGCAAGTACAAGAATGACTTGTGATTTACTTGTGATTGCCTTGTGATGAGTTGTGATTGACTTGTGATGACTTGTGATAGACGTGTGATGACTTGTGATGACTTGTGATTGACTTGTGATGACTTGTGATTGACTTTTGATGACTTATGATTGACTTGCGATACCTTGTGATTGACATATGATTGACTTGTGATGACTTCTGATTGACTTGGGATGACTTCTGATTGACTTGTGATGACTTGTGATGACTTGTGATTGATTGTGATGACTTTTGACAATTGCTGATTGACCTATGATTGACATTGGATGATTTAATTATAACTCTGCTGTTAAGACATTTTTGCATATTTCATGTACAATTATATCAATCGTATGTGATAAAATGGTTTAACTTTTTACTGAAATTTTTTTTTCTCCAGTTTTAGACTCCATGCGATCAGCCCTGAAGAAACTTGGTGGCAAGGGCGCCGATGAACTTTAACCTTTGACACATCAAGGACATCTTTGACCTGCCTGTTGTGGGTATTTGTACCATTTTATTGCAAATATTATACAAAGGAAGATGTACGTTTCAGAGCAGTGTCTTTCATAGCTGGTGTGGTGCAAAAAAAAAATTCGCAAATTGTAAATTAGTTACTTTGCGTTTCTTAATATCGTAAGTGCCTTGCTATATGTGTGTTGATTGGGTTGATAAAATCATGATGAATGGAGAAACTTAAATCTTTATTCTTGTTTCATTTCAGGAAAAAAAGATGTGAATATATTTTCATATTTTGCCATATTTGCTGGCAGGGGTAGTAAAAATGTATGTCCTTTTCTTTTTATCAAGTTATTGTCCAGTGAAAACTTTGTTTTCAGAAGTACAGAAAAAAAATCATGTTGAATTTTGGTTTGTATATATCATAAAGTGAAATGTGTGTTTTCTTACAATTTTGGCAAGCAGTATTTCCCGCGAAAACTGACTGTGTTTGTACATCATGGGTGATGGGGAAAATAGACTTGTGCAAGTCCTTCAAGGGGCCTTGGTCCAAGCTTCTAGAAATATTTAAACACATTGGTTGGATCTGGTTTTGTTTATTTAGCAACAACCCTCATTTCAGATAAATAATATATTGAGAAAATATAGTTAAATTAATGAGGTTAGTACATAAATAAGTGTAGCATAGACCTGCAAATTAAGAAACACCAAGATGTGTTTCCATATTGCAAATATGCTATCAAAAATCCCAACACCATAACAATTTAGGGCCTAAATTTGTTTTCTTTATTATAAGTCGCAAATAAATACTGTCAACATTTGGGGTTTTTCCAAGAAAATAAATTACATAATTTTCAAGCGAATAGATGTATGCAGAGATTTTTTTAATCTTCAAAATCAACCCTTCAATTTGTCGACCCGAAATTTGAAGTGGAACAACTGAACGTTTGTCAAGAATTGTTGAGTGTTAATTCTTCCCATAATGCCTCCACCTTCCGCTGTGGGGTATCCCATAATTCCTTGAGCAATTGCCATCCCCCGGCCCTCTCAATCCGCATGATGTATTCATCTGAGTAGCCAGAACGGCGGAAATATTCTTGAGATAAGACCAGTAGTTGTGCCAAGCGCGCTGCCGTGGCCACGTACAGTGACTGACGCTCCGTACGGGTTAGCTGAATTACCGAGGAGTAACCAGCGAGGAAATACCCGCCGGCTACCAGCGGCTGTTGACCCCTCTTGCCCACCATCATGTCTGCCAAACTGCCCGCCACGTCGTAGACCAAACACTCGCACGCCATGTCGTTGAAGTCGATGATGCCTGTGACCACGTGGCTCGCTGATTGGCGGATAGTGCGCGTGACGTCATTCGAGCAATGTTCCCGATTGGTGGGTTCTCGATTGGGCGCGACTAGAATGTTGGCCCGATTCATGTCGACGTGGATCAAACCTGTCAGAAAACATCCATTGAAAATTGAAATTATTATAGTTAGTGTTAAGTTTTTCGCCCACAAAGAACGCATCGTTTGCCAATAATACCTAGGCAGCAATTAAGAGAAAACACTGCTTACTCTTTTTGCTTATTTGAGCAAAAGTCACGCGAGAACCAGTTACCAGTAAATTTCAACACATTGGTAAACTATTTCTAAGCAGAATTTCTGTGCTAAGCTAAAAAATTCGGGTACTTCAGCATTCCACATTGCCTGCTCACCTTTTTGCATCGTGTTTTCAATCGGCTTGACGTCTCGTACGAACCTGTCCAGCACGGACTTGGCTAGTAAGCGATGGTCAGTGTCCGGCACGCCGTCAATATATTGCTCGACGTCAGCAACGCTGGTCAAGCACCACATGTTAGTTTCTGCGCGCTCTTTCAGATGCTCAAACGGACCTTTCAAATCCTGCAGGGAAGAACAATCGAAATTTATAATGGGATTGTTTAAAGTCGAATATTTTCCCAAGGATTGGCAGCTAAATCGCCCCCTTGACAGCTAATCACCCCAGTAACTTGATCCTCTCAGACGGTAAAATTATGTAGGTAAACGGCCCCTAAACCTTAACTCCATTTGCTAGGATGTCGCCTCAATCCTGCAAAATCCTCCAACATCCTCCATGTAAAAATTGCGTACAGCCTCAATCCTGCGAAATCCTCCGTTATTTCTTGATTGTGGTCCTTGAAGGTGTGAACACTGCCCAATCCTGCAAAATCCTCCAGCAATCATTGTCAGTATGTTGAGGCAGAGCCAGTGACATGGAGCAGTGCGGAGGATTTTAAGTACTAGCTAGGCCTAAATGTATGCACGGCTGAGCATAAACAACACAACGTCCGGCCCAAGACCCTCACACTGTGCATCTTCCAAAATCAGCCGCATGTGTTTACCATAATAAATCTTGCAAAATCCTCCATGTTGCAAAGAGGATTTTGGAGGATTTGGGAAGGTTGGGGAATACGGTATATATAAGATAACATGTTTAAGGGATTAGGGGTTACGACGGAACTTTGTATTTTAGGAGTGGATATTTTCAAAACAAAAAAACCCAAAGTTATACCAAGACCAGGCTAGACTTTCGTACCAGTAGCTTTTTGTTGAGGCGCGCAACAGCTCTCCCTACGCCGTACAGAACTTCGTTGGACAGCTTGACTTCAGAAAGGATTGTCCCAGGAACGTAGGAGAGTAGAAGGACTAGGAAAAGTCCACGAGCGCCGTCTGGTTCTATGGAATCAATAAAAAAAAAAGACGAATGCGACTCCGAAATAACCGGGAACACACGTACATGTTGTCACATCATCTAGTTGCTGGCAATCATTTCATGGGACGTGATTGAATATGATTTTATGGCATTTCATACAAAATGTTTTTGACCGAATTAATAACAGTATGTGCGCGAAAAGCAGTAAAGCGATTTTGCTGCAAGATTTTCTACACCAAACTAAATGCGAACACCACGTCCTCCACATTTTTATGCTCAATTTGTTCTTTTCCTGACCCCGAAATCGGTCACAGACCCTGGTGCCAGCGACAATCGACGCTTTTGAAAAGTTGTTTTCTTAAGCTTTCCGTGTGGTTGTGTGCGCGTATTGTACAGGACGCGGTGTTTGCATGCTGCGCTTGCCTACTCTGTAATTCTGTCGTTCTTTTGACGACAATAATTATGTTAGTCATTCAAAGTTTTGAATAGTCTCCAAAATGTCCATAGCATACACACCGAGCTGCTTGTCAATGGATGGTCGAGGTCGAGAGAACTACTACAAAGCTTCATTCAGTCAATGAATTATGTTCCCTTCAATGCGCCCAGATTCAGATTGGAGAATTGCATGAAACCAGTTTTATGAGAAGGGATGTGTATCACATTCTGTAGTTAAATGCACAGGGCAATAACAGATAAAACTTTACAAAAAGTGAACGAATTGGGGAAATCTAAAAATATGGGCACGGTACACTTTCTGCTAATAGAAAGTAGACAATGAAGACAAATAATTCAGTAAAGTAAAGTAAATGAATAAACGAGTAAATAAATAAATACAAGAATGGATAATTGCACATATTTATAAAAAAAAAAGTGTGTGCATGTAGAACGATAACATAGAGACATAATAATGAGACATTCAACCAGCTACACTTTCTACGTATTTCAGTGCTTTTAAAAATGAGGGCAGAGAAGTTGTGATGGCAGAATTTCAAAAAGACCTAGGTTATTCCTGCATATACTTTGCATACATTGGGAGGAAAACCCAATGCATTCTGCATTTCCAGATACCTGTCCATGATTCGAAATCCAAAGGATAATGTACGGACCGGGAACCAGTCTAGGTCCTTCCTCCGGCATCCGGGCCTCGTTATCGGGCTAAACAGCGCCCTCTTCAATCACGCACAGACCCAAATAAGTCAACTTGAGTGGTATATATTGCGATCAAAATTATAAGTCTTACCGCGATGGAATCTCTGTAGGCTTAGATAACCGCCATGAAGGTTCGTCACTGGCAACGGGTACGCCACGCCATCGTCTCCCCGTAGTGAGAGGAGCACCGTCACGATCTCCCCGTAGCTCCCGGCCTGCCCCAGCGAGTCATCCCCGCTGATCACCTTCAGGACAAACTCGCTGTCCGCCCGGGGCCCATCGCGCTTCTCGCCCGCTGCCGGGGCCCTCGCGTAGAAGTTCTGGTCGCAGTAGCTGGGGAGTTCCCGCAGACATTTTGCTTCTAGCCCGTAAAGTCTCACCAGGAGCTCGCTGGCCATTTTATTGGACAGGAATGGCTTGTTGACAAGTTCGGCGCCATCGAAACAGTTGTCAGCATTGTTCATGGTCATGACGGACGAAATTACACGCCCTACGTGTTCACGTGTGTATCTTCACTCGGCCCACTGAGGCAATTTTACTAAACCACAGGTGCGAACAAAGGCGCGCGATGAAAATAAACAAAGACCTCCTTCTCAATGTCAACTCCGAAACATTGGCTTGAGTTAAATGCTCGAGCATATTTCAACATTTCCTGTTTGAGCATGCGTGACCCAAATATCGTGCCGTTCGATTAGCCACGTACACAGCAACTCTTGTTGCGCTATGGTAACACCAGTAGAGTTCAATTGATGACCTCTCGCATTGTGCGGGATGGGATTGCATTCGCTCTTTTCACACTTCCGCCATAGGCATTGGGCATGCAGAGCCTCGATCTGGCAACTTTACACAATGAATATAGCCGATTCAGTGATTCCCGTGTCGGGGTTCAGATCACTGAACCGGCTATTTTGCCCAATAGCGGAGCGTGAAAAGAGCGAATTAGTGTCCGTCTCATTTTTATTCCGAGCTCTTCTATGTCATCATACAATCATTTCCCTCAGTCCACATTGGTATAGGCCTATTTACGGGGTTACTTTTACAAAAGGAATTGGGACCGTCCGCGTATTTTTTTTTGGCAGCATACATCGTATTTTAACCATATCACATCACGCATACTAGCATGAATATTTATCACGCTGTGTGGATGGAATACACTTAGGTTCTCGTTGTGTTTTCCTTCAATTAAACCTATCCCAAGCAACAAAAATATTCCATAAAAATGGACATTAGGTTCGAACCTAATTAATTGCGATCCATACTTCATTCCACTATAGGCCACTGCGGCAGCTCGACAAAAGCCGCTCTTGGAAATGCTTTAATATGCATGCGTGACTGAGTAATAGCAATGATGTGACGTCCTGCTATTTTCTTATGAATAAACATCGAATACGGCTGAATAATAGACGAATAATTTTAAAACTCTATCAAAATAATATCGAACCAAAATTCGCCAGGGATAAATTTCAGATTCCGAGCTTTAAAATTACATAAAAAGAGTGGCGGTACGTGTTTCCGCGCCGACGCTAGAGCCCCGCAAATATGTTGCTGATATTTTGGGACGCGCTGTAGTATTTAAGATCTCTGTATAATTATAATACGCTTCTAATTAAACATTTTATTTTGTGTTTATATGAGACTGCTAGGTTACACTCTGTGAAAAATGGCAACATCGAAATACTGTTCTTAACTTTAGAATTAGGGATGCAAAAGTTAGTTTTTGTATTGTCCAAATCCCATACCCCGCTGAAAATTGGACCCCACTTTTACGCCACAGCATTCTTCGACAGATGAACAGTTCCTAGATGTGACGTCATAATTTACAAAACCCATAATTTGGGAAGTAAAACAAGTCTTCATTGTTGCCCATCGCCGAGACCTTCATGACCACCAAACTGAAGATTGTTTTGCGCCATACGGTTGGTATTGATATAGAAATGATAACTAAAACAGAAACTTGAGATAATTTCAAATTAACTGGAAATGACATAGGGACGTATAAACGACTTTGTATGACCATCTGGCGGTATACATTTTTGGTTTTTTTAAACATCTGATAGCTTCATTTGTACAATTCCAGGGGATCAATAACATCTCTGAAGTTATATTACTGACACATGATACAGTCATGAACTTTGTTGGTGAAATTCGACTCCAAACAGAACTATCCCTTGCTCGCAAGTGCACGTAGTCGAACTAGAAAGTGAAGAGGCCATTTTGAAACGGCATCATTCACTCAGGCGTTTTCGAAATGTTGGCTAGTTCGTCGGCGTCGGCTTCACTGCAAGTTTCAGAGTCATTTTAAATAACCTCAATTGTAAAAAAAAAAAAAATCTGAACGTTCGTTGACGCTCCATAGTAATTCATTTGATGTTCCTTGGGTAGATTGTGTTCCGGTATTTAGCTGGAGCTCTCCATGTCAGGGCCTAAAATCTGTCCGAGCCTAACTACGAAGACGAAGCCGTGGTTTCGAAAACCTTGGACAAAGCAAGAGACAACCATGCACATGTACTTGTACAGGTGACTTCTATAATAATCTTTGGTGCAAATCAATAGATTTTATTTGTGGTGACAATTATTAATGAACTCATGATCAGTAAAATACTGTATTATTCTCCCTGTCACATAATTAGGCACAATATAGATTCCTAAAAATCTCTAACAAAAAACATCAGAATTTTGGAAGTATTAAAATAAAGCACGACAGGCCTTTGTTCATATATGTGTCAAATTCTTCCAAAAGCTTTTAACAATTTTGAGTAAGTAATAGTTTAGATGACATTCATATGCCCTATTTCGTTCTTTTGTTAAAAGCTGCATGTACGTACGGTAAACATGTATTTTAGTGTATGTCCATTGTTTAATCTCAGTGTTTTTCGTACGATTTATGTCTCACTGGAAAGCTCGGAGTATTGCTAGTCAGTTCAGTTGGAATAGATTGTTAGGGGTAGGCTACGGGTGCAACGTAAAAATGTATTCTCTGACACATGGCGTACGAAGTAACTTTTGATAGATTGTTTATCGTGACGAGGGAAGTTTTGCCACCAAACTCTTGCCTTTGTCCAATAGTTCCTTTATGGATCTGACTTTGAGGTAACCAAGATTCCTCAGAGTCTCCCCACACAACTTCTGCATCCTCAGCACCACCTTGAGCGGTACTTGATGCCGCCAGGCCTCCGGAACCTGAGACGCATTTTTAGTCAAGGAGTACTGAATGTCCAGTTCCCAGCTAGGTTTGACGGCTCTCTTAGTGTTGATTTTGATCCACCTGAGAACCCTTGACGGCAGTTGGCCAAGCCCGACAAAATCGTAGATCTCCTGGGCCATCTGTTCAGGGTTTTGCGCAATGTCTTCGTAGCGAACCAGTTTGTATTTCCCTTGTAGCCACGCCGGCCGACTGCGGACGAACTCCAAGTTGTGTCTGATGCGCTTGCAGAGGTACGAAACAGCGCCATCTAGTGACGCTCCAATCTCCAGTGAGACATTGGCGCTCGGGATGCGGCTTTTCGAGTAGTGGCTGGCGCGTGGATCGCGCACCAGGTGGATTATCTTCAAGTTGATGTCGCGACCCATAGCCATAGCCTCTAGAGATGATATGTTGTAGAGCCTGATCAATTTGATAGCCTGATGCTGCTTCCTTTGACAAGCCTGCATCAGGGGCACCGTTTCCAAACGACGACACTTCATGACCGTATAATCAGTGAGTGGTTTGGGAGACCCCCTAAAAAAATCACACAGCGGAGGGTCGATCATAACTTTACTGTTCCTCCGATGGAGCGGTTCGCGACTGTAAAACTCCGCCAAGTAGGGCGTCCGGGTGAACTCGCACTTGACTAACCGGCGCAGGAACCTGATTCTTTCCGGGTAGAGTTCCCGCTTCCATTCCGTCAACTTCAGCGGCTCGAACTGGTAGAATATCTTGGGGTTCTGATTGAAGAACTGGCCTAGAAAACTGGAGCCGGAGCGCCGGTTAGTCACAATCACGATGTGGATCTTGGAGAGTTTCGCTGAAGGTGGTTTGACGGGTAGAACGGTTTGATCAATGTCCGCTGCGGCGATATCTAGTACGGGCTTGACCACTCTACTGGGCCTATCCACTACCTTGGACAAAGGTAGATCGACTTTGCCAAGATTATCCAGTTTCTCAACCGGGGAAAGCCCCTCATAATCCAGCGTCTCAGACCCGTGCAGGGACACCTCTCTCATCTCACGTACCGGTCGTCGTTCAGGATCCTGAAGCTCCAGAAGTTCCGACGGGAGTTTTCTACCCTGGTGCCCATCCAGAGACTGGACTCCCAAAATCGGCCGGGCCTCGGCGGAGACCAGTTTCACCAGTCTGCTTTGGGATTCCAACAACACGTGATCCTCGTCGACTACGACCCCCAAGCGGCGAGAGGGCTCGATGCCCTCGTCCTCGGTGCCCGACGGAAGACTCCCATCTCTGAGGAAGTGTATTTGGAGCATGAAGAAGACTAAAGAAAGTATCCAAAGAAGTGGCAACCAACTCGAGCTGGGCCTAATGATGACGCACGTTTTCTCTCTTCCACTGGCCATTCTTCGTTTTGTTCTGAAATATAATTGTAAAAAGAATGTTTTACCATACTTCCTTGCTATTTTGTTTTACATATACAGCAGAGCAAGGGACCACAATACCACATGACGCGAGACACCAACGTGGCATCTTCAAGCGCCAGACATTATTTACCTACCTTGTACTTAACCTAAAAATGACTCTCAAACTGACGCGTGACTTGTAACTTTTAATTTTGTCCAGTCCTAAGACGTGCGCGCGCAACACAGCTCTGTGGTACTATTTTTTCATGGGTCAAAATTGCACACTTCACCGGTGGGTACGTCCATGCTCAAACGAGTGGGACAAAAATTTCCCGCCGTTTGGGGGTGGAGGGGTGGAGTGGAGGGGGGGGGGGTTCGGACAGGTGTCCACAAAAAACGAAGTACATGTATGTTGTCAAAACAATATGCAAGTTTCATGCATGCACAGAACCTGTTCACATGCAAACAAAAGACAAAAATAAGTATCTTTATTTACAAAATCGGTATAGTACCATGCAACTTTACCTCTCTTATTAACACGCTGACGTTTGGAGAAGTGTTAGGCCTATGTAATTCTCTCCAATTTTGCATTAGGGGCACCAAAATAAAAATCTTACCCAATTTTCAAACAACATTCGGACTTTGCAAAGAGCAGAAATTGGTGTTGTAAGAATAGTCAATACGTACCACAACCAACCAAAAGACCAGTTGTTTAATAATTGAGTTTTAAGTTCTCCATTTCCGTTCAGCGGCGACAACTGGTATACAGCAAAAAAGTGTCTAGGTGCGGGTACCAAAATGCTTCAACAGGGAATGAATTGTACGAGCGGGTACGGTCCTTCTAACCAAACCGCTTTATTAGTCCGGATCATTTATTTTACATTTACACCAGACGACAAGTACAACTCTTGGATTTGTGCAGGATCAGAGTATGAACAATATAAATAGCGACGGGTGTTTGGACTTTGAAAGTGTTCAAAGCCCGAAGTGCAGCGGGGCATGTATGTAAACAAAGAAATGTGAGTTTGTGCCACGGGGCTACGGAAAGGGATATGGCCTCGAAAAGATTAAAGATGAAATAGAGCTCTTGAAGTTCCTGCGATTTTGGAAATATAACTGATCTATAACTAAACTAGGAAAGAACGTTGCATCCTGACGCCCCTTTTATTTTTTTTCATCATATGTTATTTCAATGAAATTCAGTCATTGCAAAAAAATGTTGAAAAGACGTGAATCTGAGACTGAGAAACAAGTTCCAATTTTGTTAGAAAATACTTTGAAAATGTACTCGACTTCTCCATACACTTTGTACACAACCAAAGAAGTGGCGTCTGGGTACTACTTTCTTTCCCTAAACTAAATTGCAGTTTGCTGCAATAGCCTACTTGTGTTTTTTATTTGATAGTTAACGTTACAGAATAAAAAATAACGAACATTGATTACCAAAAATACTTCTGAGCAATCACTAGAGGGCCTTCAAGCCCTCCTCTCCTCCTCCCCCCTAAAAGATCACAAACTATAACCCCGCCCATTTTTTGGTGTTCAGGTCATCAAAAACAAAATGGCGGACTCCGATGACGACTTGGAAGAAATGCGACGGCTTCGCAATCGTATGTTGTTGTAAATTCGAGTCTTGAATTTCATTTTGTAAATTTTTCGTGTCTGTGTTGGTATTTGCTGTTGCGTGACTTGATTTAGAAGTTAAACTTTTCGTGCTTCGTTTGTTTTGCTTGTTTTGGATAATGCTTCATGATGACAATTAACTTAACCATTTTCGTGATAAAATTTAGTGTGGCAATTTGTGAGACTCGTCTAGCCCCATACCATAAATGTGGCCTATTTACTGGACTGCCTCCGTAAACATAGGCCACACATCCACATGTACAAAAAACGTGTCGACTTTGCCAAATTTTGATTTTCACATTTAGCCTTACTTTGTAGGTTTTTTTTGCTTTAGAAGCATTCTCACCCTCTATAATACTAGGCTAATCAGAAAGTGCTGCCTTTTTCAGATGTCTAATTTTTGTGAAATTTCGTGTTGAAATTTTGATACGCAAATGTGTGCAAATGTATCTGGAAATTTCACGAAAAATGGACATCTGAAAAAGGCAGCACTTTCTGAATAGCCTATATAGAGGGTGAGAATGCTAAGTTCTAAAGCAAAAAAAACCTACAAAGTAAGCCTAAATGTGAAAATCAAAATTTGGCAAAGTCGACACGTTTTTGTACATGTGGATGTGTGGCCTATGTTTACGGAGGCAGTCCAGTAAATAGGCCACATTTATGGGGCTAACTCTCGTCGTGCTGAGATAATCATGATAATGTGATGTGCATAAAAAAATAAGAAGATTAATATTATAGCTATTAGCTATTGATAATGGATTACATAAAAGGGTAAACACATCCTTTTTAGAAAAAAAAGTTCATAGGCCCTATTATTTTATTAATATTAATTAGCCATAGGCCTAGCGGCTTAGCCTAGGCTGTTGATGTTAAAATTTATTTATTTCATATCTTTTGTATTTATTTTAAATTTAAGTTGCGCGGGGCCAAAGTAGTACAACTGCAATGAGAAGAGATCAGGGAGATGACTCCGAGGAAAGTTTCGCAAAACAAGAGGATGATAATATGGCAAGCGTGATGGGATTCTCTGGATTTGGTAAGAACGTGTAGATGATGTAATGGATTCTGTGCATGAACCATAGGGGGCGCTGTTGAAGAATTAAGCCAAGTGAAAACAAACAACAGTTTATCGTCCCCACCTGCTTCCTTTTTTCCCGGGAGCTTGTTTTTTTAAAAAAATCATACATTTGCAATATATTTTGTATATTTATAAAAATAGGGCCGGCTCCTCCCTTTGTTAAAAAAGCCCGAATGAGAGACTTTTTTTTATATTTACTCTGCTGGAGGGACCCTTTCACAAATTAATAGTTTCTAAAAGATTCCTTCAAGTACACAAACAGCACTCTGTCACCGTAATATTTTGAAGTGGTTTTTCCTTTCTTTGAACATCTAGGTAAAAAAGCAAGGACATTTGACGTGAGTGCGATGTTTGAGCAGACGCGACGGACAGCTCAACAGCTGACAGTGAAGAAACCAGACGATTCTCCAATGTCGGTAAAGCATACTGGGAAAAGAGCCGAGCGTGCCAACAGTGCCGAAAGCAGCAACAGCGACGATTCTGAGGACACAAGTGACAGTGATACTGAGATGATCGGTAATGAGAAACTCCTTAAACCTTCAATTTCTGAGGATATTCAAGTTTTATAGTCTGATCAGTGTTTCAAAGTGCATCCCAATTGTTACCCCTGGTCATCAGGTTGTAAAACAATTTTCATTACACGCCCTCACAAGTCGTCCATTCAAGTCACAAAATATTGAAATAAATTGCGACAGAGGAATTCCTTTGTTATTGTTCATCTCCTGTTGCGTGTGACTGGACTTGTACAACGACTTGTGATATAATTACTTGTGACGGACTTTTGATGGACTCGACAACGTCACTAGCGGTGGTTACACCTTCTAGGTTGTGAGACGATTTTGCATCACAGAATGCTTTCTGAATCACTCAGGTCCGCCGATGCCACCAGGTTTTCAAGCGCCGTCTGCGGCTGAAACATCCACATCTAAGAAGAAGCAAGCCAGCCTTGATGATGACGACGACGATGATGATGATGAGGATGATGAGGAAGAAGATGATGACGATGTAAGTTTATTGTTTCCAGTAAATGATTTAATTACTTTTTGCAGTTTTTTAGTTGAACCAAGAAAGTTTACTCTAAGGATTTGAACTTGTGACCTCCAAAAACTGTTGGAACCGTAAAATGTCAAAATGTTGCAGAAACATATTCGAATTTAGTCACTTTTCTGACTGAATTGGGAGGGGTGGAAAACACTTTTGTTCTATGGATTAACTTTGAATTACCTAACTTATTTATTTAGTTTTCTTTTTTTTTCTTCAGAATCTCGTCAACAGAATTCCTGCCTCTCATGAAATTGTACTGAATCATGGAGCTAAAACAGTAAGTAAATCTTTTGCATACCTACACATTGCATTGTATGATACCGCAGCCTTTTGGTCTGGAGCATTGAATTCGTGGTCTGCGGGTTATTCTGCAGGTTGTGGGTTCAAGTCCAGCCTGGGGTTATGGTGCGTGTGGCCTTGGGCAAGGCACTTCGTCACTCATTGCTTCTCCCCACCGAGGAGTAAATGGGTACCTGTGAGGGCAGAGATGGTTAATTGTGGTTGGTTAAGCTGCTTTGGCCGAAATGGCAGCATCGAGCTGTATACTCCCCAGGGAGCTGAGATGGTCTTTGGAATGTTTCACTGGCCCAATGAGCAGGGTAATAATGATGTAGCGCCTTGAGCACCAATACTGATGGATATCTGCGCTTTATAAATACACATTATTAGATAACACTCAACTATGAATAACTAACTGTTCCTGGACGAGGCTAGGCTTATCTATTCAAGCTGCACCAAAAGTGTGAAAGCGGTCCAGGCAGTTTAGGACATTCTTTTTATTCACTGACTCAGTCATTCAGTGTCACAGTCAGTGGACAATATGCCGGCTTTCTGGGTCCAGCCAAAAATGACGACACCCGTCCAACCATTGTTGATTAGAATCATCTCAGTAAAAGCAAGTCACTCTGTGGTTTAGCATAGTTTTTGATCCACTTTGCTCTTGACCTTCCCATTCAGGTTTCAGCCATCAGTCTGGACCCGTCAGGTTCCCGGTTAGTGACCGGCGGCTTCGACTACGAGATGAAGATGTGGGATTTTGCTGCCATGGACTCTTCATTGCACTCCTTCCGATCGTTACAACCATGCTCAAGGTAAGCTTATCCCCTGACTACAGTATGAATACACAGCATTGCAGTCCAGGTACAAGTCTGGTCACAAGTAATCACAAGCCCTTTCACAAGGCCAGTCACAAGCCACAGGGGATGAACAGTAACATAGCAATGCCTTTGTCGGAGTTTATTTGAATAGATCGCTGAGTTGACTTGTGACTTGACGACTTGTGATGGACTTGTGATGACTTGTGATGACTTGTGATGACTTGTGATGGACTTGTAATGGCTTGTGATAACTTGTGATGGACTTGTGATGACCTGTGATGACCTGTGATGACTTGTGGTGACTTGTGATGACTTGTGATGGCTTGTGATGGACTTGTACTGGCTTGTGATGACTTGTGATGGACTTGCAATGGACTTGTGATGGACTTGTAGTGGACTTGTGATGACTTGTGATGGGCTTGTATTGAACTAGTGATGGACTCGTGATGGACTTGTTATAAACTTGTGTTTGACTTGTAATAATCTTGTGATGGACTTGCAGTGGCTTGTGATGACTTTTGATCTGCCCTATGTTGTTGGTACAGAGCCTTTGCATTGCATCCATTTTGAAGGGGCAGGCTTGTGTTCGACAGGGAAATACATGAGAACTGAGAAGACCTCATTGTCACGTATTTAGAATAACAAACCACCTCATTGATTGCTCCTGATAGCAATCTGTCTTTGAGGTTTTTGCATATTTTTGCTGGCAGTACTTTGACAGTATTCCCTTTTCCTCCCTTGTTTTCTTTGAAGTCATCAGATCAAGACCTTGCAGTACAGCATCACCGGTGACTGCATTCTAGTGGCTGCGGCTAAGGCTCAGGCTAAGGTCATTGACCGGGATGGCTTTGAGGTCATGGAGTGCGCCAAAGGTGACCAGTACATAGTGGATATGGCTAAAACAAAGGTATGAACACGGAGGTAAAACGTTTAGGGCACTAATATTTACTCTATTTTGGAGGATTCAGGAAGGTTGTTATCAAGCAGGCCTAGGAGTTAAGTTTAAAGAGATTTGTCATTGAGGTTCCAAGTGGAGAATAATTTATCCTTAAAACCAAAACTGTTTCTGACCTAAATTTCAGTTTCCATTGTGTTTTAGACTACTTTTAGCATAAGTAAGGTATTCAGCATAAATAAGCTATTACTTTATAGCTATAACATCCCTTGGAATCCCTTCAGTCTTCTGACGACTGTTTGAAACGTTGAGTTCCCCCGGTTCTTTTCAGAACCTCAAAAACCGACAAGAGAGATTTGTCGCATGGTGCTACCACCTTTACCGTATTGCTTCGCCATGCAAACCTTCAAATCTTATTTCATAGTCATTTGTTTTTTTATTTCTTTGACTGGTTTTTTCTTTAGGGTCATGTTGCATCTCTGAACGGTGCTTGCTGGAACCCTAAAGTCAAAGAGGAATTCATCACATGTTCTGATGATGGGTAAGTGCCCCCTGTAGACTTTGTTCACTCAGTTTGGGTGAGCTGCTAAGCGGGAAATGCTTAACCAATGTATTAGCTAAGTAAAAGTAATCCGGGTACCAGTCACAAGCTGTACACATTGCATGAAGTCTTGACTGGTAACCTGTTACAGTGAAATCTCAATAAGTCAAAACTGTTAACTCAAAAACCCTTCTAACTCAAGTAAAAACTTATTCCTGTCAGTTGTTGTTGAATAGAAAATCCATTGGATAACTTAAAACTCTGCTGAACTCAAAATTTGAGCCAATATCGAGATTCGAGGTTTGACTTATCAAGATGCCACTGTAATTGAAATAATCTATGAAATAGGTTTTAAAGATGTTTAACACCACAAAAAAATTGGAGAAAGGTAGCACAGGACTTACAGGTTGAGTATCACCTGAAAACAAAACAATTGACCACCCTTCAAATTTTGGCACTGTACTGCAAAATGGCAATTTTCGGCTCTAAGCTCATTTTGTGAAGACAGGTCACATGATGTAAGATTCCTTCCTGCGCGACTAATTTATGCTCAGCAAATTTCTGTTGCTGAAAAACTCCCTGAATTTTGCCTCTTCTCCAAGAATCCTGCAATTTGTTTCATTTATAATTACTTTTGTGACCTTCATTCCCTAGGACTGTGAGGATATGGGATTTCAACCAGCCCAAACGGCAGAAAGAGGTCATCAAGTTTCGGTCAGTAGGCGGTCGGAAGACGGTACCCACGTGCTGTACGTTCAGCCGCGACGCCAAGCTGATCGCAGCCCCTTGCCAAGACGGCAGTCTACAACTCTGGGACGTCAAAAAACCATTTGTGAGTTTTAAAAACTTTCCGACAAATCAATCAGAATGAGTCGTAATGTTTGACTTCTCCCCTTCACCGATGCAACTTTATTTTCCAACAGTGATACAAATTTTCCAACTAGAACAATATTCCTGATTAACGTGGGCATCACATCTCCTTCGCCCTACAGCGATAAATTGTAAAGGCCACGGGGAAGGAAACTACATTCGAAAATTATTTCAAATGTAATTTCAGTTTATTGTTTAAATTTGCTTAAAAACATTTTCTATTTCAGATATTTTTGTATTTTTTTGTTGCCTTCAGATAAGGCCTACGTATCACCAGAAGACGGCCCATGCAGTAGGCAGTGACAGTACCTGTATAGCATTCTCCTATGACAACAGCGTCTTTGCTACACGAGGAGGTATAAAGGACACTTCAAAGTCTGTCTCACAAAAGGAAATTATTTTTTGTAACTAGTTTTTGTTTAAAATACTTAACTATACAAGGCTTATCCTCGGTAGTCGACTGAACCAACCATTATTCACCAGCGTGTATTTGACAAGTTAGTCAAACTACGATTAACCATAGTTGTTAATCAAACTTGCTTAATTTGCTACATCCAAACCAAACTAAAATAAGACATTGACAAAGATGAAATCTAACTTCTGTGCCTAATGACACACATGTTACTTCTGTTGTTTCAGGGGATGACACAATGAAGTTATGGGACCTCAGAAACTTCAAGAGACCGATTAACGTCACAACTGGCCTCACAAACTACTTCCCAGTGTAAGTATGCATATGCAATTTTTCATTTTCAGTTGAAAATTAGGAATGTAGACCTTCATTCACTGCACTTGTCTGCGATTACTGATTGAAGTGGTCGATGTATTACTACCCCCGATTGTCAAGCTTATAATATTACCCAGAATCCTCGGAATCCTCCATAGATTGCATACAGCCCTAGCAGCTGTTTTAGGACTTGTGTCTAGTAACAGTAACCAGTTCTGCACTCATAGGAGCTCATACATTTTGGCCAAGCTGAAGCAATTGAGGTAAAATGTCAAGCTTAGGGACACAGGATTTGCTTGCTTGATGCAGACCCTGGTTAAGCAGATTCTGCCACAAAAACGTTTGATTAAAGAACCAAAACCTTTAATTCAGAAGATTCTGCAACCAAAATTATGAATTAATATCATAAGCTTTGACCTGTGACCCATAACCATTACCCATAATCCTCCGCTCTTCCCTCAGAGGACGGATTGTGTTTTCAACCCATGGTCAAAATTTTATGTTTTTGTATCAAAAAGATGTGCAAGACTCGATGCTAAAAAGTCAGGAAAGCATTGGGTCGGGAAATTTTTTGTGCAAGAGTACCACGAAATAAATTGAAGGGGGGGGGGGGGGGGGAGGCGGCTGTATCCCCCTTCCCCAGGCCCTTTTAGGGTTAAGCAGATTTTACCACCAAAAAAAGACCCATAACCATTACCCACAATCCTCCACCTTTTCCTCACAGGACGGACTGCGTGTTCAGCCCGGACGACAAGATGCTGGTGACATGCACCTCCGTCAAGAAAGGCCAAGGGGAGGGTAAACTCATCTTTCTGGATCGAGAAACATTTGATACGGTCACAGAGATTCCGTGCGGTGACGTGGTAAGTCTGTCTGTGTTCCTCTTCAAATTTTTACAATAAGAGCAAAAAATACTGCACATTAACCATCATCATTGTGGCTTATTTTAAACAGCTAAGGAAAAACATTCAATACACTTACACTTTTTAAGCCTTTGATATTTGCTGAGCATTTTTTCCTAATTTTTTCTTTGGTCGTTCATTACTGATTACAACTTTGACTTGTTATTGTAGGGTGTCGCCAGGTGTTTATGGCATCCCAAGCTGAACCAGATCATCGTTGGTTGCAGCAACGGAGATGCCAAGATTTTCTACGACCCAAACAAGAGTCACAGGTATCAGCCTAAAGCTTAGCTTAACCTAAACTGAAATTTAGAGGCCCCCCCCCAAAAAAAAAACCAAACAAATTAAACTAAAATTAAAACAAAATAAAAGAGATACAGTGGTTAACAAATGGAACTGTACATATGATGGAATTTTGCGTAGGGGTGACGTGAATCAAATTAGGTTTTTGCCCGTCACCAACGTATAAACACTGTATTTCGGACCAGCTTCGAACCAGCCAACCGATCCCGCTAGCTCGGTGGTCGAGTGGTAAGACATCTGCACTAGAAAGCAGGAGGTCATGGGTTCGAGTCCCACCCGAGTGATTTTTTCCAATTTTCTTCACTCGGGAGGTATCACACACTGAGTATACAGTGTTTATACGTCTGTGAAGGGCAAACCTAATTTGATTTACATGGAACTGTAGTCATCATCATGTCAAACAAAAGACAGGCCAACCTTACTCACAATTTACCCAACAAAATTCTCAGACTTTCCTTAAGGCAGAGATGAATGTTGCACACCCCCATTTTGATGTTTTAACATTTTGCCTCATGTTTATGGTAGGGGTGCCAAGCTTTGTGTGGTCAAGAAGAAGAGGAAAGTCAAGGAGCTAGACATAGTCAGAAACGAGAGCATAATCACACGTAAGTTGACGTTATTATAAAATTGAATGAATCCATGAATTTCAAGCTATCAAATTTGCATTAAATGAATTGTTCCTATAGTAGTTAATGGCGCCCTGGTCGTGTTGTTTTCAGCCCACATGCTGCGCATGTACCGCAAGGACCAGCCTAAGCTACTGATGTCATACAAGCAATCACAGAAGGACAGACAAGATCCTGTCAAGTCACACAGGCCGGACCTGCCCCTCAAATCAGGTGAGTTATTTCCCTTAAAACCCACCCCAACCCATCCCCCAGCCCACCCCCCACCCCCATCCCATCCCAGTCCCAACTGTTCTCATTCCCTCCCCTTCCTTACCATTGACTTATGATGACTTTTGTTTTCTTGTGATGACTTGTGATCTATTTGTAATTTCTTGTGATGACTTCTGATCGATTTGTGATTTCTTGTGATGACTTTTGATTGATTTGTAATTTCTTGTGATGACTTTTGATCGATTTGTATTTTTTTTATGATGACTTGTGATTGAGTTGTAATTTCCTGTGATGATTTGTGATTGATTTGTAATTTCTTGTGATGACTTGAGAGAGATTTCTTATGATGACTTGTGATTCAATTTGTAATTTCTTGTGATGACTTGTGATCATCTGTGATTTCTTATGTGATGTGACAACTTATGATTTCGTGTGATGCCTTATGATGTTGTATGAAGACTTGTGATTTCTTATGATGACTTATGCTGACCTGATTACAACTCTTGTACTTTGCTCCGTCAGGTCGTGGAGGCCGGGTAGGCTCAGGTGGGGCTAGCCTCTCGTCCTACGTTGCCAAAGTCATCGCTGTCAACAAGAAAGACGACAGTAATCCTAGAGAAGCCATCCTACGTCATGCCAAGGAGGCTTCCGATAATCCGTTCTGGATCTCCCCAGCTTACTCCGAGTGAGTTCAATCTCATTAATATTCATTTATGGTAATGAGATCAAGGATTCCTCAATAAATACCCAAGGCACGGAAGAAATCTTTGGAGAGAAAGCAATGGCAAAATGCTGTTTGAAAGATTGGGGGGGGGGGGACTTGAGAAAAATATTGTTGGGGGAACCTGCAGAATTAGGCAGGGACTGGTTGCCCGATCCATCTGCGTGGGTGGGATTCGAACCAGGGTCCCAGAGGTGGAAGGCAAGGAAAGTATCACTGCACCAACCTGACATCAAAGGTCGGAGGTGTTTGGTCAGAGACGCTTACGATGGGCACATTGATTCTCTCGTCACCATCCACCTCTGAGACTCGGGTTCGAATCTGGGCTTGGCCAATATGCAGATCAATTTAAAATGGTTTGAATTTTACCTGAGACACACAAGTGAACAATTTGTTTTGCCAGTTGTTTGTTGTGCAATATCTCTGCCAAGTCTTACATATTTTCTAACAATTCCTTTTTTAACCATAAGACTTCAAATTTTTCCCTTTCAGGACGCAACCTAAAGCCATCTTCCAGGAGGAATCCGATGAGGAGGTGGAGGACAATACCGACGTACCTCACTGGGCCAAGAAACAGAAGCTAGATACCGATAAAGACTCATGAGAGAAGAGAAGACTGCCCTCTCTGATCCTGTAAATTCCCTTGGAGGTTTTGGTGTCCTGCAGTGTTTCTTACAAATAGAGCTCTGAACAGTGGTCACAAAGTGGCATCTTCTGCCCTCATGCAAGAACTCCAAACTGAGATGGGAAATGGTCCTTCGTGTGCCTTTGTTGCGTGGCTAGAACGCCCTCAATAGTTTGCTTACAATGTTCTCGGGCCATGACTAGCTCAACTGTAAACTGGAGACCTGACCTCATAACACAAGTGTATATGAAGTCAGGCAACAGCCTTGTACTTCTGATATCTTATTGGTTGCTATGCTTCTTGGCCGTGTGCCCCCTCCCCTGAAGTTTGATTGACCTACTTCTCTGCATATGCGTCATGCTACTTTGAGTCTGTGTTTAGACTTGTACATGGTTAGTGTGCACTGGTCATTGAGACTAACTCTGTTGCACCAACTGAGGTGAAGGCAAAGCCAAAAGAATAAATAAATAAATTGTAATGCTTATATAGCCCTTTCCATCGTATCAACAATCTCAAAGCGCTTTACAATTATTCCCCCATTCATCAGGCCATGAGACCACGCGGCAGCCGATATCAGCGCACATTCAGTCCTCTACCCTCACAGGTACCCATTCATACTCCTGGGTGGAGAGAGGCTATTGTAGTAAAGTGTCTTGCCCAAGGGCACAAACACCATGTTCCTGGCAGGGTTTGAACCCACGTACCATCGTACATGAGTCAAACACCGTAACCGCTGGACCATGGCATTCTACTATGACAGTTATGACATTGATTGCAAACGGGACACACAAATTGAAGTACTTTCATCAGTTTTATTTGTTCCAGTTTCATGATTGTACAGGGCTCATGTACGCTTTAGTAATACTTGATTAAAATATGTAAATTCTATTTGGATGTTATTCAGTGATCTCATTCTCAAGGTCAAATTTAAATTCCATAGCTGCAGTATTTATTTGCCATCTATAGACAGAATTTCTTGGTCAATACCTTTGCTGCATACCAGCTAGAAAGAATAATTTGGCTTTGTAAAGAGTAAAATGTCAAAGGCAAACATTTTTACCAAAATATAATTTTCAAAACAGTATTTGTTAGCTGAAACCTATATTTGTCTGGCATTTTAAAAAGTGGTTGTGGAAGCTATCAATGGTTATGATTTTTTAAGCTTTCGAACAAGTCTATCAAGCTTGTTGCCGAACGCTTTGAAAGAGAAGCTACTCACAACCCTGGCTCGGCCAGCTTTGCCAAAAATCTTTGTCAGATCTTTTTTAGTGACAAACTCTCTCATGGCCTCGGCGAAGCTTTCAGCGTCAGGCTCGCGCAGGAACCCTGTTTTCCCGTCGACGACGGTCTCTAATGGTCCGCCGCTGTTGACTGCCACGACCGGACGGCTCATGTACATGGCCTCGATTGGCACAATGCCAAAATGCTCATTGCTGGGTGTGTACAGGAGGCAAGAGCAATTGCTGAGGAGGCTCAGCTTTTCAGCGTCGCTGAACGACCGCTTGAAGGTGATGTGGTCGGCGAGTTGGAGTCTGTCCACAAGCTGTCGGAGCTCCAGGTAATGCTCGCGATTCTCGGTGACGCGTTCGTCGTAACCGCCGGCCATGACCAAATGCACACCCTTTCTTTCCTTCGCTGGGAGGTTTTCAAGTAGCTTTCCTGTCAGAAGATGAAGTAACAGAAACTTTAATTAACCCTGACATTCCTAGATCTTTTTAGATCATCTAGGAGGTTTTGAAGGACTTTGCAGATTCGAAGAAGGTAGAGCCCAGCCCTTACTAACTTGATACATCTTGAAATGCCACCCCAACCCTTCAAAATCCAACTGCATGTTTTGTTGGAATCTGTTGGAGTGGGTACTGCACTAGTAAACTGATTATGCTTAACATGGGGTCGGGCATACCACCATTATTAGAGTCCAACAGTTTGGGTGTTGAGTTTACCATGCTGGATTTTGCAAGAGTGAGGAAGGTTCCAAGTAAAAACACTCAAGGGGGTTAGGGTTAAAGAGTTGAAAAAAAAAATCGCTGAGGCTTCCAGTATAGTGTTGGATTTTTGAGGATTCAGGAAAAATCAAAAACAGAAACATTGTAACAAGTGTAGAGTTTGACATGTAATCACATTTATTGTTTATCGTTCCTTACTTGTGATAGGACTTGTGACTAGGCTTGTGATGTGCTTATGATTTACTTGTGACCATGCTTGTGATGTGCTTGTGATTTAGTTGTGACCAGGCTTGTGATTTACTTGTGACCAGGCTTGTGATGTACTTGTGATCCACCACAAAGTACCTCCAACTCACCCAGAGCCTCGATGGCCAATCCCAAGTTCTTCTTCCTCTCAAACCGATTGATTGACAGGAAGAGGGTGTCGACGTTCGGTGGCAGCAGGTCTGTGGGGGTTTGGACTGGGCCGTCGAAGGCAGCAAAGTTGAGGGAAGGGTAGAGAACATCAGGCTGTATGTGGCTCAATGAGGGGAACGTTTTGGCAAACGTCTTGGCTGGGGGAGGGGAGAGGAAATACATTTAACAGTGAACATAATCAACAGGTTTAATATGGTTATTTTCAAACTGTGTCATAATTTGATCCAGTATTGAGGTCCAATTTGCTGTGGATACTTTGGGGACTTTGGTTTTTTGTTTAATCAATAAATAGATAAGGGTTTTATTCTTTAAGGGGGGGGGGGGGTGTCAAGTTGGTCAATGACTGGACTAAATCACTTCTGCGTATGAAATCTAAGATCTTGCTCTGTTTACCTGTGAAGCTGCTGTTGACGAGAACGCAGTGAGCCATTCCGGTCGTCTTTTCTTCCAGCCAGTCGATGGGTGCGCGGTAGAGCCGCTTCAAGAATGTCAAACGCTGGGTCAGAAGTTGATCCGGGAAGTGACAGTAGAACAGCACCTGAAAGAACCAGAAATGAGCCAAATTAAAGGTTTGCCTTGGGGGCCGATGGTGGAAGGGGGGGGGGGAGGGGTGTCTTTTAAATACAAAATAGGGGTTCTGAACTTCCTGTTAGCACTAAACTCTTTCTAATACAACTTACAAGTCATCCATGCTCAAGTCTAGCAACTAGCTATTCAAATAAACTTTGACATTTATAAGGCATTCCTTTGTCATTGTTCATTCCAGTTACTTGTGACTGGAACTGTGAAAGGACTTCTGATGAACTTGCGACAAGACTTGTGAAGGACTTGTAACAGACTTGACAGCAACCCTGCAATATCAGTCACGCACTCTCAGGAAGGTAGATGTTAACCTTTGGTTTTCGTCTCATCTTCAGGAAGGGGATGCAAGCCGATATCTGATCACAGAAGACGACATCGTACTGCAGACCGCTGAACAGAACCAGGTAGAGAGCGACGTATATCATCCTGATGTAAGCACACAGGGCGTAGAATCGACCACAGAAGCTCCTCGGTAACCAGTCACCGACTGCCTTGACATCCAAGGTGCCATCACTGGTTTCCTGCAAGTAAGGCGATATTAATCAGTACTTATACGCACAATCTAACTGCCACAATTATAACTGGTGATGTTTTATTTAATGAATATAGGCCTAAGCAAAAATAATTTTAATAAGATTAAGAGGGTGATGTTCTTAAAATTGTGGTAAAAAAACAACAGAAAACAATGTGCTTGGATAAAAGTGCAAATCAATAAACTCGCCAAACAGAGCTTGATGCACACTGCTCCAATGCCAACTGCAAAAGCTGGTAACATGAACATGTTTTATACCCAAATATTGTTAAATATAAAAACTAGATTTAAGCATTTCTTAAGCTTGCAAAAGTAATTTAAAATGATGCAACCTGTAAGAACTGACAATTGGGATGTCCTAAAAAACACAATCACTTTCAAGATTCTGTGCCATTTTAATTTTATTGTCAATCAAAATAAAGAATAAAGTAAAAGTAAAATCTAAATAGAATATCTGAATAATTTTGCTATATTTATTTTGCAAAGAATTTGCATTAAAAATGATGTGAACAAAAGGTATGACAAAACAGTAATTAACGGCTTTCTTTTAATGTTTTCCATCGTGGTATCCTCGATGCCCTTAGGGCCTTACCTTGAAGCAATGGCTTGGGTCGTGGTGTGCCGTGAGTAGCTTGACGGAATGCCCCCGTGCCTGCAGGGCCAACGCCGCGTCCACCACCAACCGCTCCGCACCTCCGATCCCCAAATCAGGGTGGACAAAAACTACCTTCATTTAGCGAGCTACCAACTCACTACAACAAGTAAATCAACAACGTTGGGGAAGAGATGGCTTTATCAACCTCGAAATACCAAGTTTGTTAAAATTCAGAGTTTGCAGACACTGGAAAACGAAGTTTATCTTACGAAGATTGCATCATTTTGATCGCCGTTGCACTCACAGCTGATCCGCCGCGTGTCAAAGTTCATCATCACAATGAACAGCGCCCTCTAGCAAATGAGCTGAAAAAATTGCTGCGCGCATCGCACCTGTAGAAAAGTTTCTTTTTTTTTTGTCACGTAATATTTTACTATTAAATATAAATTATTACCATGAATACTTCTTACAAATATGTTTTCAGTTCTAAAACTGTATGTCTGGAGCTTGTGTTGTTCTAGGGCGAATCCAAAACACAATTTGGGGGGGGGGGGGGAGGCCAACAAAAATTTGTTCCTTCAAAAACTTGGTCCAAAAAATTACGGCATGGGGGTTCGAGACCCGCTCCGGCCGACAAGGGTCCCAGAAATTGTTTGGATTCTAGATGCTCCGTGGTGCGATCTGAGGCACTTTCTGGTAACTTTAACCATTTTTTTAAAGGAAAAGATGGTGTTGTATGCGGTGCCTGCCTCTATTGCGACTTACCTTAAGACAAACAAAAAATTGGGTTCGGTTTTTTTTATTGGGGGGGGGGGGGGGGGGAGGCGGCATGGCCCCGTTGGCCCTTCCCCTTGATCCGCCCTTGGTGTTGTTCATTCGGAAATGGTGGAAGACTATATATCAACCATGGGACTTGTACCAAGTTTATGGAAAAGTGAAAGTTGAGTGACAATCGCGGTCACAGTTTTTGCCATTCAAGGCATGTTTGCGACCGCAACCCTGCATACAAAACAACAACAGTGACCCAGCTTTTATGCAAAACCATACCCAAGTGTACTTGTATAATTTACATTAACGGGTCAACGGATTCTGTATTGCGTGATAATAAAGTCAAAGGCGGTTTCAAAACCCCGGCTTCGTTCCATTTCGGCCTCGTCTCCGGTTCGTGAATGATATTGGAATGTCATTTCCAAACAAAATATTGAAATACCTAAAATGTTGTCTTCTTTTAATTGTCTTTAATGTTCTTGACGCAGCACGTGGAATGTTTTGAGCCAGAGTCACCAAATCAGGGTGTGAAAATATTTCACTGAAGCCGAACTGTAAATAAGAAGCTGAGTTTTGGAAAACTTGACCTCCTGCTACTTCCATCATGACGGTCATGGATGGACGCTTGGCTAGTCCCTTGACGAGTTATCAAGAAATATCATCCCGCACCGATCGCGAGATGGTAGAATTATTATGCGGGTCTGGTGTGGGACAGTATTACGTGACTAACAAGACTGTGTTGGATTTCGGTAATACGGGCAGACAACATACGCAGTTGGACTTGAACTAATATCTTCACTAGAACGGACTAGAACACATTGAACACAGGGGATCGCGTCCTGGGTGTGCCGCAGTACCACCACGCCTATCTACTCGACGATTGATATCATACCGGATGGGACCCCTGCCACAATTAGCTTGAAAAGTTACTGATGTGACACTCTGTCATAGACGGAGATCTCATTTCGTGTTGGAATATATTTGATTAGTAACAAGATGGTGAGTTCGTATACAATTTGCATTTCTTCTCGTTCCTATAGAGGCCGTGGTTGGGAATTAGGATGGTTGGGGACTGGTTTTTTTTTTTTGGGGGGGGGGGGGTGAATGGGATAAACATTATGTTGAATGTGCGCATCAACCTATTGAGGCACCTGCGGTTTTAGAAAGGTTCAAGACAATGCCTATTAGTTACACCTTCAATTAGCTTATGAGGATCTACTTGAGTGATTTGATGCTCCGAATATGACGAAATTTCTCTATGCTTCTATGCACGATTTCTTATCTACTTTTTATTCAAAATTTGTTTGTGCTACACAACTTCATTTTGTTTTTAAGATGAAGTCTTTAATTGCGAGGATATACTTCTTCAACAGTTTTCAGTGTGGATATCAAAGTAAAATCTGGGTGTTTTTTTTTTGGGGGGGGGGGTGGCCTAATTCCTTTTCAAAAAGTCGTGAACTTTCCAAAACGTGATTTCGTCCGTTCAAACCCGAGTGGTTTTATATGGTGTCAATTTGTTTGAGAGTACGTTTTGCTTTTTGCATGTTTCGTAAAATACACCATACAGCATTAGGCAAAAAAACAACATGTTTAGCGTCCTTCCTTTTTGAAAACAAGGAAGGAGGAAGCCCTTTTATTTCTTCCAAAATGGCCGCCCGACCGGGCTATTTTTCAAGATGGCCGCCAGCTTTTTTTTTTAAATGGCCGCCACTTGGACTCAGGAAATGACATACCAGCTTTATATGGGCTAGATGCAACAGACAAAGAGGCCAAAATTATGTCACTGTTTAAAATTTTTCGTTTTACGTGTACCAAAAAGAAAGAAAGGAGGCGGTCTCCAAAAAGAAGCCGACGGGGACGCTAAACATGTAAAAAATTTTAAATGGCCTTAATGGGTATCATTTCATCCTTGCTGCATCTAACTAATTTTTATTTCGGAGTAATTTCTCAAGTTCATCAAGTTCAGTACGCGATGCTGAACTTGAGCCCAAAATAGTTTCTGGTCGGGGGGATAGCGCCCCCTAGCGAAATGTAAACACAATTTTGAACAACCTTCAATGTTCATGTCATCTACATTCGTCTCGGCTTGGGAGAGATGATTTATAAACCGGTCGACCCAATTATGTACTTAAACCCCCTCTGGGCTTTGTACCCGGTGACCTCAGAAAAAAAGGTCGAATCTAGGGAGGAAAAGGCATGACCAAAATAGTCTGGATCGGGGGAAATAATCAGGGGTCGAGAACTCGTCCAATCAAAGTCTGTGTTATGCAGGCTCGTGCGCCCATGTGTTGACACGTAGACAGTGTGCACTTGTCGCAGTGCAGTGCAGTGCAGTGCAGTTCGAGTGCATAGCAATTTTACAGTGGTTGCACTGCGCACACAATACTCTTGACTGTGTGTGTGGAGCCAGTTGAATGAAATTCGTGTTCTAACCGGGGAGGCTATCGAGTGCATACCGCGTGCTCATTCAATCGGGAATTGTTAAGGCCTATTCATATGCATATCAACAACCATGTCCGTAATAGACAAGGTTTGTCCAGCTCTCTTTTCTTTGAAAAGTTTAGTCGAGGGGAAAGTTTGTTGTGATGTCAGTCGGGGCTGGTTTGTGTTGCGAGGACCCCCCTGTGTTGTCAGCGCATATTGATCTCGCGAGTTGATCCTATCAGAGTACGAGTGTGTTACCAACGCACCGTGTTTCTGCCTGACGGTTGTACCGTCCACAGCTCGCCCCCGCCCGCTGAGATCAACCGCATAGCCCGAATAACGCCGCCTGGTTTTTTTTTTAAATTGTAAACCAGCTCATCCAGATACCCCGCCAGTTATTTTCTCAGAGTGTCACCGACTGCAGAGATTCCGTTGGATATATAATCAAAGTGCCTGCCTTGGATGTATATATGCCTTCTCCATCCTCCAAAAAGGATCTAAATATTCATCTTTTCCCACACTCTAGATTCGTTTCCGCGTGACGCGCGACTCCAGCAGCGACATGTCAAAGTCCAAGAAGTCGGGCGGAGGTGACCATCAAGATTTCAGTAAGTTGCCAGACCTTTTTCTCCATTTTGCATTTTCATGTTTGTCATTGAGACGAACATCCCATCCAGACATTTCAATATTGTGTCATCATCACATCATCAATGCATTGTGTTTGTATCTTGTCGTCTTGAGATGGTTTTTTTTAAACCTTTTTTTGTCTTGACGAGCTCATGTCGTCATATGCACTAAGTGTAGTGTTTACGATTTTACGTCTTGAAAAGTAAGTTAAAGGGAATATACATCATTTGCTTTTGCTGTAATTTTCAGAAATGGATGGAATTGGGGGATTGGAAATATAAAGCAAATATAGTTACACTGACTTTTTGGAGGTTTTGGGTTCGAAAATGCTATAAAAACCAAGAAAAACGATCATTTACCTGTAGTCTGGTTCCCTGACTCCATATAAGAAGAAACAGAGCAGTTTACATACATTGGGGAATTGTAAGGTCAGGGAACCAGTCTTGCCGGCTCGTACCCGTTCATAGGTTTGTAATCGATTGCAAACAAGTGCAATAGTCAATTGGGGCCAGTATTTGAAAAAAAGCCAGTTGTTTCCAACGCTGATCGGCCGATCAGCGTTGGAAATTGATACAAAAATACCACTTTTCTTGAAAATGACAGTATACCAGGTGCCATAATTTTACAGGATGCTTAAGACTGTCATTTACCAACGTCCTATTAAGGTATTTCGCAAAAACTTGGTAGTTTTATTTTTCGATGTTTGCAAATGTTGTATATTCCCTTTAAGTTATGTTTTGAGCAGTGTCATGGGTGTCTTCCTCGATGTTATCTGTTTTGTTGAAAAAAAAGCTAAAAAAATAACTTTCTCAGTAACTTGAGTAAAATGGATTGTATTTTTTTCCTCCACGGAATTAAGTGAAGTGTATTGCTATGTACTATTGTTTTAATTATCTGGACAAATTATATAGAATACACTTTATTGTACCGCTTATCTAAGGTCTATATTCCACCAACGACTAGGATGATGTTGAGTTCTATATATATTTACGCAACATGTTTCATCTGGGGTTTTGATTCCTTCCATATTTCACCGTACATGAATGTGTAATTCAATTTACCCACATTTTTAGGCCTGGGCAACTAGCCATAAACGACAAAAGCATAAAAACATGAGGTAATACACCTCCCAACCAGCCATGCATAAATACATTTATTTACAAAATAGTAGCAAGAGACCCGCATAAATTATACTACTTCGCCACCGTGTGTTATCGTTATTTACCGTCTTCACGGCTCATTGTTTTATCGCGCTAGACTCGGCTATCTGCCCGGTGACCTTTGACACAGTGCGTTCTGAACGAGCCTATACTAGAGTACCTGATAAAGGTACATAACTGTAACTATATTAGTGGCTTGCCATTGCGTTCTTATTCGAATTACGATTGTAATTTTTTTGGTATTTGACTTTCGTTTTTAATCCCTACTATGGTTTAACATTAAAATACTGCCTGCTTGCCCGGATGTTGTGTGTACATTATAGAAAATATAGCCACTGTACCATAGAGGTGGTATTATGCAGT